TCTATTTTGGTGTTTATTTGTAGTCAGTAATGAAAAAAAGACCATTTTAGGCTCCAGCGAGGATTGAACTCGCGACCCCTGGTTTACAAGACCAGTGCTCTAACCACTGAGCTATAGAGCCTCACACACCTGTGGCTGAGTCAGGGTGATGTTTAAATATCACAGGGAGGTGTGGTGGCCGGGCTCGTCAACCAGTTGTTCTGGAATCGTCTCACAGCGTTCGCCGACCGGGTTCAGAGCCGTTCTCATTGTGAGGCTGAAAATCTGTACTCTTCTGTGAAACCTCTTCTTAGGCAACGCCGCGGTGAGACGAGAACGCTCGATTCAGTCTCATCTGGACGTCCCTCTACGAACGCAGAGCCAGTGTAAGAGCTCTCTCTCTCACACACACACACACACACACGTTTCTGCAGGGCTGCAGTGTCTTAAAGGTGTCCTGCTCTTGTTTTACAGTGAGTGGTTTAGACCGCGTGCACCTGCCCGACACCCTGAGTCAAGCCACGCTGTTCTCTTACCACCTGAGACCACACAGTGCAGGACAGGGGACGGGAGGCCGCGGGAAATATTAAACACACACACACACACACACACACACACTTGATGTTTTCTCAGCTGGTTGGCAGCCTTGCCTCTATAGAAATACTCAATGTTCATTCAATGTGCCAAACTTTCTAAAATTAAGCCGTATGACATCAGAGCCATGACCTCACAGGGTGGGGTTACGTCTACAGAAAAGGCGTGTGTAAAAGATAACCTTTCATCCATTGTGGGGCGAGCGCACACACACACACACACACACACACACTTCATTTTCTCTCGTTCTCCACCGTCGCCATGCACACACAGAGATAACCTTTCCTCCTATTATGGAGAATGAGGCCGTCCATCAACAGCCAGTCATACAGACAGCCCACCTGCAGCTGCCGACACACACACACACACACACACACACACACACACACACACACACACACACACACACACACACACACACACACACACACACACACACACACACACACACACACACACACACACACAGAAATTAGCTCCCCCTTAAGAAAAATGTGCATTTCTGTCATTCTCGTTTTTTCCTTCTGCACATTAAAGACGTTTGTGTAAAATATTGACCTCAGTGTTTCAGGCTTTTGTGAATTTGTAAAGAAAGCAGAAGTTCACTTTGACTTTACGTCTTTATTTTTGTGTTTTTTGTACTTTAAAAATCGAGTCAACGTTCTACAACCACCCTAAAAACGACAACGGGGCAGCTTTAGAGGACAACCTGGGTTGTTCCAAATAAAGTTTTGTTGTATGAATGCCTTCAACACACCCGCCGCTGATCTGATGGGTGCGGCGGTCAGTAGATGTCCCGGAGGCCCAGACTTCCACGGTGCGCCGAAGAGCCGTGAGCCACGGTGACGCTGTAACAGTAGAGCAGGTCTGTCAGCCACTGCTCTCTGGACGCGCTCTGGGAGTACCTCTGCAACACAGAAAAGCAGAGAAACCTTCTACAGCAGCTCCTGCTGATCACACACACAGGCGTCAGGACGTGGACTTACGGTGAGGTCCTGTAGGAGCTCCTGCAGCAGAGCGGCGTTGGCCAGCAGCTGGTTGTGGAGCGGCGTGTGCTGCAGCAGCATGGACAGGATCCGCCCGAGCTGCGGCAGCTCCTCCTCATTCAGATCGCCGACGTGCATCGACTGGAGAACCATGCGCAGCAGGCGAGGAACGCTGCTCAGCGCGGTCACGCACGAACCCCAGATCTCCTCTCTGAGAAACGCGACAGAGCAGTTTGACACTCCTACTTAACGACGTTATCGCCTGATTTCAGCAAATGGCCACTGGCATCGCTCCAAACGCACCTTTTGTGTTCGGCTTCGGCCGCCGCCTCCAGCTGCGGGGTGACGAGCAGCGCCAGGAGGCTGAGGCAACACTGGCACAAGAAGCGCAGCACCTGCTCCATGGGCAGGACGGACGGGCCCAGTAGCCTGGAAACGGCTCTCAGCAGCCCGGCGGCCGTGCTGTCGGGGATCACCTCCAGCTTAATCTGAGACAAAGCCATCATTACAACAACAGAATATAATCCAGGGAACTAGAACATCTGTAGATGAAAGCGGCTCTCACCAGGTATCTGAAGATGCCGTTCTGCAGGATGTCAAAGCACTGGGACTTTGAGCCCACGGTTTCCAGACAGCGGCACACTTCCTACCAACCAGACAGTTCAGCTGTTAGCAGAGAGACTAGAAGGTTCTGTCTCACCATCTGCCCTGCAGCCACGCGTACAGACCCCACGTCTAACCGCTGGGACGTCCCGTAGCCCGCGTGTGACCTAAACATGCAGCTGTGCAGCAGAAACCCCGGACAGCCACTGAGATCCTAATAAAAGGAGAAATAAGGGGCAGGAAGGTCGACTGATAAAAGGTTCAGGTCGAAACGGCCACAGCTTTTCCCCATTTAGGTGCGTGCGTGCGTGCGTGTGTGTGTGTGTGTGTGTGTGTGTGTGTGTGTGTGTGTGTGTGTGTGTGTGTGTGTGTGTGTGTGTGTGTGTGTGTGTGTGTGTGTGCGCGCGTGTATAGGTGTGCGTGTGTGTAGGTGTGTGTGTGTGTGTGTGCGTGTAAAGGTGTGCGTGTGTGTAGGTGTGTGTGCGTGCGTGCGTGCGTGTAGGTGTGTGTGTATAGACGTACGTGTGTATAGGTGTGCATGCGTGTGTATAGGTGTGCGTGTGTGTAGGTGTGCATGCGTGTGTATAGGTGTGTATAGGTGTGCATGCGTGTGTATAGGTGTGTATAGGTGTGCATGCGTGTGTATAGGTGTGCATGCGTGTGTATAGGTGTGCGTGTGTGTAGGTGTGTGTGCGTGCGTGCGTGTAGGTGTGTGTGTATAGACGTGCGTGTGTATAGGTGTGTGTGTGTGTATAGACGTACGTGTGTATAGGTGTGCGTGTGTGTGTATAGGTGTGCGTGTATAGCAGCGCATGCGTGTGTGTGTGTGTATAGGTGTGTGTGAGTGTGTGTGTGCATGTGTGTGTGTGTATAGGTGTGTGTGCATGTGTGTGTGTGCGTGTGTATAGGTGTGCGTGCATGTGTGTGTGTGTGTGTGTGTATAGGTGTGCGTGCGTGCGTGTGTATAGGTGCGCGGGTGTGTGTGTGTGTAGGTGTGCGTGTGTATAGGTGTGTGTGTGTGTGTGTATAGGTGTGCGTGCGTGTGTGTGTGTGTGTATAGGTGTGTGTGCATGTGTGTGTGTGTGTGTGTATAGGTGTGTGTGCATGTGTGTGTGTGTGCGTGTGTGTGTGTATAGGTGTGTGTGAGTGTGTGTGCGTGTGTGTATAGGTGCGCGGGTGAGTGTGTGTGTGTGTGTGTGTGTGTGCGTGTGTGTGTGTGTATAGGTGCGCGGGTGAGTGTGTGTGTGTGTGTGTGTGTGTGTGTGAGAACGCTGCACCTGTTGGCATTCTCTCATCATTAAAAACAATCCCGTCTCATTAGCCGAACCGGAGCTGACACGGTCCGTTTCTTAATGCTGCCCGTTGCCACGGCGCCGCCCCTCCCGCCTCCCACCAGACGCCCGCCTGTGATTGAGTCAGACAGGGAGATGAGATGCTGGATCTAAGGCTTTAATTGAAGGGCTGAATTAGTGATTATAAGCACCCCCACCCGCTCACACACAGTTGCCCTGGGGCTTAAGTTAGGCTAACGGTAATTTCTGTGCAGAAATGTCACCCCCCCATCACGCCACAGGCTTTCATTAGCATTTGTGCATATCCAGTCTGCCCGATAACCACGTGTCTCCAACCTGCGCAACACGATAAAGGCTCCCCTCTCAGCAGGAGCGCCACGATAAAGCCTCCATCCTCTGAGCTCTGTGTGAGGGACGGACACAGACCGGGGGCTGGGTGGGTGGGTGGGTGGGGGGGGGCTGAAGGACCACAGCTGTGTCCAGAATATCAACACTCTACACCTAAAAGCCTCCTTCCTGTCTACATTCAACTGTTAACGGGTTCACAAAGGGCATCTAGGTGACTGTGAAGCACGACGGGTACCTGGAGGACGTCCCAGTGGTGCGTAAACTGTTCTGACGGGGTGGGGTACAGGCACAGGGGAGCAATGGGCGAAGGCAAGATGTTTTCATCCTCCTGAAGGCTGGAGAGGTTTTCGGAGGAGAGGCCAATGAGGGTGGAGAACAAGAAGCTGATGTAGTCCACATCCTGCACGGCTGCTTCCTGGTTTCCAACAGACCAGCCACTCAGAGACGACCTGAAGGAGACGACATTGAGACGTTTTCACAATGTGTGCACCGACGCTAGTTATGCAACTTTATCAGGTTGTTTCCTTCAGCTTTTTAATCACGCCTCTTGTATTTGTGATGAAGTTTCATAAGAGTGATAATAAAAGTAAACGCGGTTATAAAAGTGGTCCTTGTCCTCGGGGGGGCCCGCCTCCGTGACAGCAGCAACAGTGTGAATGAGAGCGTGTTTTGGTGGAGCCCGGGAGGCACATGCATGCGGTCCTCTGGACGCTCCATGACGATGCTGCATTCCAACCTCCCAAAGGACTCTTTGTATCAAATCTATTATACGCACGTCCCGTCTCATATGAGCTCAGAGCTCTGGTGGCGCAAAAGCCCACCGACACAGGAAAGAGGTCAGAAACGCCACAAAGAACGGCGAAGGAACCTGCTTACATCGTCATCAGCGTGCTGGTTATCAGCGTTTTTCCACATGCAGGTAGGAAGATAGGCAGGACATGAGTGGTTCTGCTGTGAAAGCACAACACTGCCCTCTTGTGGTGGTCGATGCTTTACGACAGGCTGTTGCAAAAGTTTAGGCATAAAACTTCAGTGACGTCTTTTTGTAACTTAAAGGGACGTGTTACGACTTTTCTCTGAAGTTAGAATAGTTCTGTGGCCGATACAAAACATGTTTATGGAGGTTTTTTTTGCACCAAATCCCTCACATCCACTAGTTTTATTCTTGACGGTTTCAGTACCTTCCAGAATGAACCGTGTAAGGGCTCGGTCTCTTTAAGAAAACAAGCTGGAGCTGGCTACACCCACCTATCCCCACTCAAGCCTGAGTCATGCTTCTGCGTCAGCGCGGAGACACGCAACGCCATTATCCGTCCCGGCGGGCCTGCTGGAGAGCGCCGCAAGGACGGAGTCGAGCTCTCTTTTCTAAACATCCGTCCGTCGAGACGGAGAACGCAAGCTTGTGATTGGTCAGGACGTCGCTGTCGTCTACAGCGCCGCCATTGCGCCCTCAAAAACATAAAGAAAGCCGAGGATAACTAGCGGCAGACACGGAGAAGCTTGAAGAAAACCTCACAAAAAAACTCTAAAAACATGAACGTTTAATTCCCCGTGACTGGAGGAGTGAAAAGATGCGCCGCAAGCGTTTTATTTGTGGACGGAAATGACAGGAAAAGTGGGTTTAGAGGTGGCGAGTGCATGAAGAGGTAGAGAATGAGAGACAAATTTGTCTTCAAAAAGTCTCTTATATACAAAAAACACAATATAAACACACTATCTTGGACCGATACATGACAGGATACCAAGAACAGCGCTACGCCCTCTGCTGTCCTGGAGGGGAATTGCTTTGCAACGCTCTCCAGGAGACGGAGAAGTATGAGAGCAAAATGTCTCCGTGCATGCGTGCGCGTCTCTCCCTGTTGGAGCCGACATAGAAGCGTGACTCAGGCTTTAGGCTGCTATAAGCTGAGAAGCTCCAGTATCTGGGAGGGGCTCGGAGTAGAGCCACTGTTTCTCCGGCAGCAACTCTCTCCTAAATGTGAAAGGTGGTTATATTCTACTTTCCCAGTTTGTGACATCACAAAAGAGGACATTTTGAGACGGCTTATTTTAGGCACATAATTCCTAAACCCAAACACTGACAGGAAACGGATGGATGGCTTTTTTTCGTGTTTGGAGCCTTTTTAGAGGTGGTAGAGACCCACGTGCAGCACAAAAAGGTGTCCCCTTTAAATAAGGGCATCTTTTAGATGAAGCGAGGAGTTTCCAAGCTCACCTAAAGTGTATGATGCGAATGAGAGAGGAGGCGAGGCTGGCAGAGATCCGTCCAGCGGTGCAGCAGCTGCTCAGGTTGGCCAGGAGGGGCTGAGGCATTTCAGGAAGGAAGTAAAGCAGACGGACCATCTGCTGCTGGCACTCTGGTGGTAACAGCACCACAGCTCCTTCCTGTGGATCTTCAACAACAAATAGGCATTGTGATTAAAACCTGTGGCTAAACTTGCTGCCCCCTGCGAGGACTTTCACACCAGGCAAAGCGACTCTTGGATAATTAACCAGTTTATGCTTGAACCACAAAAGCAGAAGCAGAAAGCCATGGCTCCTCCTGTAAGAGTGCAGATAACGCGTGTGTGTGGTGTTCCGTCTGTCTCTGACGCACATGCTGATGTCAAAGGCCTCGGACAAAAGGAGTCTTGTGTGGGGAATTACTGGCTCTGTGGCCGCCTCTATCGGACCACCCCCGCCTTCTGGCCCTCTGTCACACACCACCCTTCCTATCTGACCATCCTCTGGCACAGACAGCAGCTCAGAGAGGCTTCAGAAGGACGACGTGGAGCTATACTGCCTCCTAGTGGACAACATCCTTTCACCCAGTTCAGATTTGAACACATTTATTTACGCACAGCTCCCGTTCACAGCTGGTCATCGATCTTTTCTTTTTGTTGTCCACTCACAATCAAGTTCTGAGTCGACTCCTGGTCCTTCGGCTGCACAAGCCCGCATCATCAGCCCTCCACCACCGTGCTAACAGCTGGTAGGAGTTGTGTTTGTGCTAGTTTGCTGCTTGGTTTAAGCGCGTTCCTGTACATCGTCTCATATTTGTCTCGTCAGGTGTTGACATCCACTGTGATCCAGGTGTTCCGTGCAGCTGGATCAGGCGTCTCGCAGCTGAAGGAAAATTATCTTCCAAACTAAAAAAAAACAACCAGACTACATCCATTTTTAGCTTCAAAGTGCCAAAAAGAGACTGTTTCATCACTGACTGTGTCTTTATCGGGGTCACATGGACATCATGAATGTGTTCAAATGCTACAAGTCAAACCCAAAATGTTTTGTAGCTCGATTTTCTCCAACCTAATGGGCTCGACACACGGGAGGCGACGTCGCCTCTCCTCCATTCATTTTCAATGAGACGTGCGCGACAAAGCGATAACCGCGGGTCTCCCTCCTACTAAGCGAAACGCGAAAAACGTGCGTGTAAAATTCTGCGCTCGTGCACGTGTCGTGCACAGGCGACCCAGCGACGCGATCCCAGAAAGTTGAAACATTTTCAACTTTTCATCGCTGTTGCTCGGACGAGGACCAATCAGCGGAGGTTTCATTCACTGACCAATGAGTGGACAGGATGCTCCGTACACCTCCGAGCAAACATGAAGGAGAAGTTGATTATTATTATGTTTTATAGTAAAATCAGAAGTAAGATTTCACATAACTCTAGCAGCACCTTGTGAAACATCATATCTACCGCTTTATTCACTCTGAACCGCTTAAATAACCTTAATTCCCTCCAACCTGACACAGCCAAACAAAACAACGGAAGTTTCGATTTCACCGTGGAACAGAACGCGTAGACGGCTTTGCCGCTGCCGCGGATCGCCTCCCGTGCGTCAGGTAATAAAAGCCACAGCGACAAATTTCGCTGATCGCGGTCGTTTGTCGCCTCCCGTGTGTCGAGCCCCTAACTCTCCTAAATCGTCCACACCTTGTAGAGTTTTTCAAATCTTATGGGCTCGACACACGGGAGGCGATCCGCGGCAGCGGCAAAGCCGTCTACGCGTTCTGTTCCATGGCGAAATCAAATCTTCCGTTGTTTTGATTGGCTGTGTCAGGTTGGAGGGAATTAAGGTTATTTAAGCGGTTCAGAGTTAATAAAGCGGTAGATATGATGTTTCACAAGGTGCTGCTAGAGTTATGTGAAATCTTACTTCTGATTTTACTATAAAACATAATAATAATCAACTTCTCCTCCATGTTTGCTCGGAGGTGTACGGAGCATCCTGCCCGCTCATTGGTCAGTGAATGAAACCTCCGCTGATTGGTCCTCGTCCGAGCGACAGCGATGAAAAGTTGAAAATGTTTCAACTTTCTGGGATCGCGTCGCTGGGTCGTACGTGCACGACACGTGCACGAGTGCAAACTTTCACACGCACGTTTTTCGCGTTTCGCTTGGTAGGAGGGAGACACGCGATTATCGCTTTGTCGCACACGTCTCATTGAAAATGAATGGAGGAGAGGCGATGTCGCCTCCTGTGTGTCGAGCCCATAACTCACACAATGAGAAACGTATCAACAGATGTAGAGCATGTGTCCTCCAGGGTCTCGATCCTGCATGTTTTAGATGTTCCTTTCTGCCAACACACTTATTTTAAACTGATAAAAAGACTTCTGCAGAACTTGAAGCACTGCTGAACGGTTTGAGTGTGTTTGGGCCGGTTAAACAACTAAAGCTTGCAGCCTGACCCACCTGGACGACCCTGCTGTGGAGTCGGAGGCGGAGCAGTCTGATCCCGGCTTTCCACCAGACGCGTGAGCGTCGCATAACCTAACAGACGCGTTTTCCCGGCGATCTCAGCGGCGCATCTCTTCCCATCGGAAGCGTTTCAGACGTGAATCGGCAGCGAAAGCGTTCCACGCAGCTGCTCCCTCGAGGTCTCGCGCGACGATGAGAAAGAAGGAAGACGGCAGGTGTTTGGTTCATTTTCTGCTGTTCACCTGTGCTACGGAGGCGTCACAGGTAATGATGTACCGGAGCTCTGCACGTGACTTTTACCCTGAAAGCTACCAGATTTTTTTAACTCTGCCCTCGAGTTTGACTTCCTGTCTGACCCGATCTGAACTGCTGGGCATGACGAGTTCTAAAGGCCTAGCACGTTAAAAATTTCTAAATTTTGAAGCGTAAATTTGGTGGAGTGACGCGACGCTGCGCTCGTGGGACGCAACCTTAACCCTACAGATGTTTTCTAACAAGTTGCTCTGAAACGATTCATCTTCCCATCGAGGAAAATGTGCTGACCGTAGAGCCTGCAGGCATGTGTCAGCAGACTGTCGAGAAGATCCTTGTTGCCTCGTGAAGCTGCAGCTTGAATGGAAAAGATGAGCTGAGCAGAGAGCGTTGGGTTACGGTGGCCCAACTGGGACAGCTGCACAGGAAGAGATCCCAGCCAGCGACACAGCACTTTGCTCCTTCACACATGGAAACAAGAAACACACGAGTGTAGAATAATGTTAGCAAACGGGGGGGTTCCTTTTAAACTCGACCAACCAGTGAAGCTTCACTCTTGACTAGGGTTGTCACGGTAACCGGTGTAGCGGTAAACCCCGGTAAAAAAAAGTTGACAATAATAATAACCGTCTTGTTTTATTATCTCTGTGGATTAGCGTGGCTGCGGTGTAGGCGCGGTGACCCTTACCAGCCACCGTATCATCTGCTGAAGTTGCCGGCGGCACATGCGCACTTTGTTGTTTACAACCAAAACTTTCTTGAAGCTAAAGCTGAAATAATGGCAGGAGGAGACGGCAGCGCTCAGGACATTTATTATCCCTCAAAGAAGACAAAGTGGGAAGTACGGGCATCTTTTGGATATTTGAAGAATGCCGAGGGACAGCTGATAGAAGACGGCTATCCTGTTTGCAGCACGTGCAGAAAAAGTGTCTGTGAAAGGCAGCAACGCTTCAGATCTCATGACACATCTGTGTGACCATCACCCACAACTCTACAGTCAACGCAAGGCAAGCTAACGTTAGCGTTTGAGCTAAAATGCGTGATCCGAGGATTTGGGTTGAGGGAGAATGCAACGAGTCGCTATATAAAGCAGCCGCAGCGCCGCTACCTGCATATAAACCGTGTCGCGGACACTGCCATGTTGAAATGACGCTATGCATTACGGGGCTCCCAGGGGCAGATAAGAGTTGGTCTCTCTCCGAGAATAATTATGAATTTAACAACGATTACTGCCTGATGACATTTTCCCACATCTGCAAAGCTCACTGGAAGGACACAAACCGAGGACGATATTTTCCTGATATAGGGTTTATTACTCAAGTAAGGGTAAAAAAGTATCTGATTAGAAGGCTACTTGAGTACTGAGTATCATCTGATCTAATATTTTTAAATGATGACATCAAACAGACAAAAAATAAGAAGTTATGGGCAAATATTGGTATTTTAAAGACTAAAGGGGAAAAATGTAAACAAATAAACAACATAATTACAAAATAACAAATTTTAGGCTAAATTTAGACACAAACTGAGGACAATATTTTCCTGACATACAGGGTTTATTTAGATGTCTGAAAATGTAACACATTTAAAAAAATACCGCGATAATACCGAAAACCGTGATAATTTTGGTCACAATAACCGTGAGGTTAGATTTTCACACCGTGACAACCCTACTCTTGACTCAACAATAAACAAACACACAGCTCGCACCGCAGCTACCTGGCAATGTGTGCATGTCCCTGCTCCTGCAGGTAGAGCTTGCTGTAGAAGGACAGCAGCAGAGATCGTGTCTGGATCTGGAGGTTCCTCTGTTTGTAGTAGACATACACCGCCGCCAGCAACTCCTCTGTCACTGCTGCGCGAACACAAACACATTCAAACTAAACTAAAGTCGGACTTGATCTTTAAACGTTGCAGAAGACCTCTAGCGCTGCGTCACCTAGACACAAGAATGTGGTCCAACACTGTTCATCTAGCCTCTTATTGTTGTTTTTAACTGACCTATAGGAGCAGAGTGAGTGAATAAATGAAGTCATGCTGACCTCTGCTCCTCTGTGTGAGCACCAGCTTCCACACCGTGCCCAGCAGCATGTGCAGCTGCCTGTAGCTCAGCTTCACACCACTCCTTAGAGTGTTCCGGACGAAACTCCTCAGAGGCGATAGCCAGTCTCCATCCGCCTCTCGGCCAACGCCCTGCTTCTGGCTGAGTGACACCATGACCTGGCAAAGTGTGATGTTCAAAGCCAGAGGCTCCACCGTCGGAGCGGGAACAGCTGCAGTCTGTTTACTCCTGAGGAGGGAGCGGCGGGCATTAGCTGGTTTACATCCGTGTGCTCTATGAAGTGATTTCTGTCGTCATATCGGCGTTTCTAGAAAATCTCTTAGTAATACATTCAGACAAAAGCTTTAAAACAGCTAGTTAAAGAGCAAGTCACCCTCAAATCAACTTTTTTTTGGTTGATAAACTATATAAATGTGTCTAATTGCTCTGTAGACACGTTCAGTCTATAATTCGGCACTTTCGTTAATCTTAGTAAAAATTTAAATATTCTGCCTAAAACTGTCAGCGATGCACCGTCGTCAGGCAAAAACTCAGCACTGCATTTGAATTTAAATCTGCCATCGCTATTGGCTAAGAGGTACGCTATGATGTTAGATGGTACATTATGATGTCACAATGTCGTGAGTGTGTGTATTTGTTAGCGGCTCCGCCCTCTCGGTCTGCTAGGCAACAGCATTTGTTGCATTTTTCAAACAGGAAGTGGGAGTGGAGTAAGAATCTGGCAGGGGGTGACTTGCTCTTTAAGATTGCAAAAAAAATCAGGTTATTAGTAAAACTGGCATTCCTACCGTTTGAGATCGACTTTCTTCTTGTGTTTTGGTGTGTCCCGCATGCCGTAAGGAAAGTTTTTGATGAAATGCTGCTTGAAATCTCCCAGATACTCTTTACGTAACCATGCATCCTAAACAAAAACAAAAACGTGTGCCTTTTATTATGAATAATACTGCCTTCAATACAACACGGCACAAATAAACGGTTGATTTATCTCACCAGCGCATCCTGGTTCTCCCGCTGGGTGGGCAGTTTTCTCAGCAGCTGGAGAACAGTCAGGACCTGGAACATAACTGACATGGCGTCTGGGGTGAGCAGGTGAGAGCCCTCGGTGCTGCCCCAGGAGCAGTCGTTGGTGCAGGCTTCAACCCAAACTTCCAGCAGCAGAGGCACAAGTGTGCCAGCAAATCTCTCAACAGTCTCAGCCGAGTCCAGACCCTCACTTATCGGGACTCCTGAGTCCACCTGGGGTCTATTCAGTTTTTTTTTAAATTGTATAAAATATTATCCACTTTTATGAAAGTTATTGTTCATTTTCTAGAGTCTGCACATTACCTGAGTCTGAAGGTAGAGTGGGGAGTTGGTTTGGCCCCAGAATTTTCATAAACCTTAACTTCCCCTTTTCTGTAAACCAAATCTTCCCAGGTGAGATGCAGAGGAGTGACACATCCCTTTCCACTTGAACCAAACACTCCTTCAGTTCGGACGGACACGTCCCCTTCTTCCATTGGTCTTTCTTCAACGACTGCCTGCAGAAAGTGCCCAAGCCTGAAACACAAGAGGGGGAAAACAAACCAGGCTTAATCAATGGTTTTAAAATTGAACAATCTCGTGAGTAGGTTGCGTCCATACCTGAGGAGAACAGAGAGGCGCCACTGTTGGCTTGTCACAGTCCTGTCTGGGTTGACTGTCAGCGCCCAAGTTCGCCCCTTTGCATCTAGAGGTTTTTTGGCTCCTCCGATGTTCTGTCTGTGAGAGATAAGCTCTAAGAAGTTTGTAAGGAGCACTGTAGGCCGAGAGGCAAGGAGAGATGGGTAGTGCTCCAGGAAAACATCAAGGACATTCATGGCATCCTCCTGGATGCCGGGCTCAATGTGGGTCATGGCACAAGTCAAGTGAGCACTAAGAAGGGGGAAAAATGGGGACACGTGTTCTGCAGGCACAGACTGTGCAACAAACCTGGAAGAGAGACAATAACAAAATTAGCACACTGAAAAACGTCCTAAATGTTGGAGAATGCGTTGTTTCTCTCACCTGAGCACACGTGTAGCTGCCACACGGACGTTACCATCCTTGTCTGTGAGAACAGCTGCCACTTCAGACAGCATGCGTGAGAGATGCTGCTCCAGCAGAGAAGGACTAGAGGACAGCAGCTCTCTCAAACCCAACAAGGCACCATGTTTCACGTTGGCACTGTAATGATGCAGCTGAGACAAGAGTTCCTGATAAAGGAGGATTAAGGATAAAAAATACATAATTGCGTCATACAAACAAGAAATCTGAGATCATGTTTTCTGAATCTGTTAACGTACATTGATACCCAGTTGTCTATGAGTTGTGGGGCCACTTGTGTCTCTCTTCAGCTGATCTGGCAGATGGATTCCCCTTGAGCGAAAGTTTGTGTTGGTGGCGTTATCAGCTTTGGGCTTCCTCTTTCCCACTTTGAGCTTGACCTTATTAAAATCATCCTGCCTCTTTTTCTTCTTGGCCTTCATCTTTCGTTGACTATATTTTTCTCCTGGGCATACATATGGGGTTCAATACGTGTACGAGCTTCTAAAAATGCACACACTGCTAAGTTTTAACGCCGAATGGTAACATTTTGAACGAAAAAAGGAAATTCACGTTTGCAAAAAATAGCTAGCATGAAGCTAACAGTACCACCAAGTATGTGTGTTGTTTTTAACTTACCGCTAAAAAGGGGGCCTTACTGCAATCGCCAGATTCTCATGTAGCATCAAGCACCCACTCTGTATCTTAAGCTAAATAAATAACCAGCAAAAGACTTTCAGCTCATACAAAAAAAAAGCTTTGCAATCTCGTCTAGCAGCATGCTCATTGGGTCCTTTGATTTGGTGTGTACATGTTTACAAAGCCTGTGGGGTTTGCGTGTCGAACTGGACGAATACGGTGCTTGCGTATAAATAAGCGTATTGGGATGTTTTACGCTCTATAACAAAATGTACTGAATAAATTGTGATTTAAGTTAAGTTTGTTGAGGAAAAGCAAAACTAATTATCTTTAAAATGTAGATATTTGGCAAAAATTTAATCCAGGAACGTATTACGGTACGTCCCGGTAAACATAGTAAACGCACCATGTAGTCTTCATAAGTGCCTTAAAGAAAACTGACACTATTTACCTGTATTTGTGGACGATTCTTGAAATATAACATCATATAATCATAATCATTTAAAATAATTATTTGTGGAGATTAACTAATTTGAAATAATTAAAAATATATATTTTATAAAGGCGAAATCCTGGTACTCACATTTCCCTTAGAAAAGGATTTTAGGCCCAGGATAAAACCAACGGAAGAAAGCGTAGCAAACCTTCGTCTTACACTGTCCGGGTTTGGTTTTGCAATAAAACCTCCAGCAATGGTTGGTTAAGTCTTGTTTTTTTAAGTAATAGTAATATTTACGTACATAGTATTTGATTTACTTTATTTACCTGTAATGTTGAACGGGTAATTGTAAAGCAACGTCTGGCGGGGCCTAGTGAAAACGCACAAGGCATCATGCTAATCGTTTATTTTGACCTGTATTTTAATGAATAGCCATTTACAAACTTCAAAAATGTCCTGAAAAAGCTTCCGATTCTTTTCCCTTGGTGTATTTCCACAACTACTTGGACTGACTAATTCGCAGTACTTCGTTAACTTTCCAAAACACGAAAGCTAAAATCACATTCAGAAGGTTTTATTGCCGTACGTGCGAGAATCACTACGTTAGGAAATTGCTAAAGCATTCACTCGTAGTATTTCATTCTATCCTCTAATGAAAACGTGCTTTTTCTGATCATATCGAGTTGCAGTTATCTTGCATTATTTTGAGAAGTATTCTGCTTTCGAGTAATTTCTGTTCATATCGCAGCAAGCGGAGAAAATGGAGAATTTGGCGTCTGAAGAACAGCCTCCTGCTCAAAAAGAGCCTTCTGTAAAAAAGAGAAAGCCAAAGGTGGGTTTCATAATTTTCACGTTTAACATACTTGTATTACCTCAACAGCCTTGCTGGTTGGCTGTTGAATTTGCTTGTTTAACCAGGTTATGTAGTCTTCTCCCTTTGTGCATTCAGACAGACCAGCACCTGATTTAGTCACCAGAGGCCAGGAGTTTTGTGTTTTCTAGCGTCAGGTTTACAAAGTTAGTTTCACTTTAATCTAATAGTTTCCCTTTTAGTTAGTTTGAGGAATGTGGAAAGCATATTTAGTGCAAGTGTATTTTCAGTTTGTGTAGTGATCTGCGTCATCACTACATAGTTGAAATAAAAACAGTTTAGTGGGATTATGTGTTTCTGCACAAATTGTTTATAAAATGTGATCTGATCTTCATGTAAGTCACAATAGACAATCACGGTCTGCCTAAACTAATACAACACTAACAATTATGTTTCCATGTTTTATTGAATTCACTATTGTAAACATTCACAGTGCAGGTGGGAAAGAAGAAGAAAATATCATTTCTGTAGCGCCTCTCAAGATAAAAATCAAGAGGTGCTTCACAAAAACAAAAAAATGTAAAAATATACAAAAGCATTTAGAAAATGTTTAAAAATATATTTAAAATGAGCAAAAATAGGCAATTGGGATTTAAAAGAAAAAATGTTAAGAAAGAGAGAGAGTGAACAGGAAAGAGGGAAATCAGTGGATCCTGAGGAAGGTGGAATAGGTGGGGAGAGCAGAATAAAGAGAGAGAGGTGAAGAAGGTCATACAAAAGCCAGCCTGAACAGGTGAGTCTTCAGCTGCTTCTTAAAGGAGACCACTGAGTCCACTGATCTCAGGCTCAGGGGGAGAGAGGTCCAGAGTCTGGGGGCCACAGCAGCAGATGATCTGTCACCTTTGACCTTTAGCCTGGTGCTGCACAACCAGTAGGCTTTGATCACTGGACCTCAGGGACCTGCTGGGGGTGTAGGGACTGAGAAGATCACCAATGTAAGATGGTGCTTGTCCATGTAAGGCCCTATAGACCAGAACCAGGATCTAGAAATGAACCCTGAAGTTGACTGGCAGCCAGTGAAGCTGGAGGAGAAGCGGGGTGATGTGGGTGTGTTTGGAGGACTTGGTCAGAAGCCGAGCACAGGCGTTCTGAACCACCTGTAGACGGTTCAGGGAGGTTCTGCTCAGACACGTGAAAAGAGAGTTACAGTAGTCTAAGCGTGAGGAGATGAAGGTGTGGAGAACTGTCTCAAGTTCAGAGCGGGACAGAATGGGACTCAGCTTAGCAACGTTCCTGAGATGGAAGAAGGAAGAGCCAACAAGAGAACTGACATGAGAATCCAGGGTGAGAGCTGGGTCAAAGGTCACACCAAGGTTCCTGACAGAAAAGTATGTGAACCCTTGGATTTAATAACTAATTGAACTTCCTTTGGCAGCAGCAACTTCAAATGTTTCCTGTAGTTGCGGATCAGACCTGCACAAGGGTCGGGAGCAATTCTTGACCGTTCCTCTTTACAGAATCAGTTCAGCAATATTCTTGGGAAGTCTGATGTGAATCGCTTTCTTGCAGTGATGCCACAGCGTCTCAATTGGGTTGAGGTTAGGACTCTGACTGGGCTACTCCATTAGGCCCATTTTGTTCTGTTTAAGCCATTGTGGTGTTGTTTTACTTCTATGATTTGGGTCGTTGTCCTGTTGCATCACCGTTGCATCACCCATCTTCTGTTGGGCTTCGGCTGGTGGACAGAAGGTCTTAAGTTCCCCTGCAAAATGTCTTTATAAACTTGGGAATTAATTTTTCCTTTGATAGCAATTTGTCCATGCCCCGATGCAACAAAGAGGCCCCAAACCATGATGCCCCCACCACCATGCTTCACAGTTGGGATGAGGTTTTGATGTTTGTGTGCTGTGCCTCTATTCCACACATAGTGTTATGTGGTTCTTCCAAACAACTCAACATTGGTCTCATCTGTCCACAGAATATTTAAACAGCACTTCTGCGGAACATCCAGGTGCTCTTTTGCAACCTTTAAACATGCAGCAGTGGTCTTTTTTGGGGGGGGGGGCAGCAGTGGTGTCCTCCCATGAACTCTTTTTGTTTAGTATTTTACATATCACACATTCACCAACAGGGATGTTGGCATGCTCTAGGATTCTTCACCTCATTGAGCGTTCTGCGTTTGTGCTCTTGCAGTCATCTTTCCAGGAGAGTAGCAACAGTGCTAAAATTTCTCTATTTATAGACGATTTGTCCAGTGGACGGATGAACATAATGGATCTTGGAGATACTTTTAAAACCCTTTCCACCTTGGTGCAAGTCCAACATTTCTTGACCGTAGGTCTTCTGAGAGCTCTTTCGTGTGAGGCATTGTTCGCATCAGGCGATGCTTCTTAGGAAAAGAAAACCCAAAACTGGTGTTTGTGGGGTTTTCATATACGGAAGAGCAACTTTAACAAACCTCTAAATCTCATTGGTTGGACTCCAGTTTGGCTGACTCCTGATTCCAATTAGCTCTTGGAGATGTCATTAGTCTAAGCTGTTCACAATCGTTTTCCACCTGCACTGAGTGTTTACATGGTGTGTGTTCAATAAAAACATGGAAACATGTTGTTTTTTGTGTGATATTAGTTTAAGAAGACTGTGGTCGTCTATTGTTGTGACTTGAATGAAGATCAGATCAGATTTTAAGACCAATTTGTGCAAAAGTCCATATTATTCCACAGTGTTGGCATACTTTTTCTTGCAGCTGTATGTTTACCAAAAATAAACCATGGTAGCTCCTAATTTTGAGATTTGTCAGGGTTAAAGGGTGATTCAGGAGATAATTTCCCTGACTTGAATAGCTTTGGGTTACTAATACTTGTCCTCAACCATTTATCTGAATCCTGGTCTTTGGGGCAGCAGTCTAAACTAGGAAGCCCAAACTCCTCAACCTCTACCGGCTCCTCTGGTTGGACCCTAAGGCATACCCAGGCCAGCCAAAAGACGTAATCCCTACCGCGTATCCTGGGTTGAGTCAACCCTTCTGCCAACGAGACATACCTGACATACTTCTTCCACGGGGTGTCCATAGGTGAGGACTGGAACATAGGTTGACCAATAAATGGAGAGCTTTGCATTCTGGCTTAGCTCATTTCCAACGCCGCCCCGATCTGCACGTCAATCTTCCCTCGCTCGTGAACAAGATCCCACGATACTTAAACTGTTCTTGAGGTAGGAACTTGCCCCAACCTGGGGTTGGAAATCAGGACAGATCCTCCTGCCACCCTCCACCCAACACTGCGCCTAGAACAGAACCGGTGGCAAAAAGCAGCTCTGGTGGAGTCCGCCCCCCACCGGGAACCCTATCGGCTAGACCCTCCTCTACGGTACTTTGAAGTCGACCTTTCCTGAGAGGCAGAGGAGTGAGATTCCTCTTTGCGTGCTCCAAAATGAGAAGTATGGGGAGTTTCTTTCATTGTGGAAATCCTGTTCATTTATTTATGCTAGATAAAGACAATTACTGGTTCAAATGAAAAGTCGCAGACCCTGGCAATTTGTAATCTCACTGTCAGGAATGTTTGTGACCCAACTGGACTCAGATGAGCAGAAGTTTAGCTAAGACCACACAATGGCAGCAGTAATCGTCCCCCTCATATGCTGGAGCACGCACGTTCATTTTTCTGTGGTGTTTTCCACCAAATTATGATTAACAACCAAAACATTAGACTGGCCTGAAGAAAAGGGGCATATAGGTCTTGCTCTTTCATGCGGCCACAGACGCTTTCACACGTTATTAAAAGTGTAATAACTCTTCTTCTCTTTTAAAGCAGTGACAAACTGATGCTGTTCTCATTCGATGAGAATTTAGAGCAGTCGGTTGACGACACCGTAGAGCGCCTGTGCACTCCTTCCTGTCGCTGGCTCTGCTTAATGCGGAGGTTGCGCATGAGGAAATGGCGGCTCTGTAGCGTGTACGGTGTTTTGGACATGGACAAGGAGTTCATGTGTCATCTTGTCACTAACGCCTGTATCTCTCTCTCCCCCCTTCTCGTGGGTTTATTCCCTCTGATGACAGAAAAGGAATCTGCAGCACTCTGCTGACATAGGTAAGTCTTGATTACTCATGGCGCCACTTCCGGGCATGAAAGTTGAAGCGTGGGACCTTAACTTCCTGCTTCATGGAGCAAGTGGTGACATGTTCACCTCTTGGTGGGCCCTCGGAGAGTAGGGTGCTCGCAGCTTTTGGTCTTGCAAAAATGGCCACAACTGACCTGTTGATGTGACGGTCCGTTTAAACCAAACCATCCGTTCTCCTACACAGTTGCATCTGTAAGCAACAAGCTAAATGCTCATGTTGAGTTGGGGTGCTGGTTTAACCCCCTCTGAGTGCAGTGTTTAGGTTTAATCAGTTGTCTGTATCACTGGCTACTTTGTTAGTCATAGTCAACGTTATGAAGTAGTTTTGAAATTGGACTGCTTCGTTCTGTCCCTGGAGACGGTAAGAAGCAGAGCATCGTAGTTATGTGTCCTACAGACCACTCTGGACCAAATGGGGGGTACCAGGACTGTTCTCATTCCTCTCCCAGGTCTCAAAAGGACACGAGGACTTGGTCTACCAATGATCGGCTCTTATACGAAGAATAAAATCGTGTGTTCATCAACTGCTACAAGTTGTATTAAATCAAAACACACCTCCAGTGTCGTCTTTCTTCCTGCTGCGTTACCGTTGCACATTTCTCCCAAGAGATCTACGTCAGAGTGACGAGTTGACCTCGACTTAAACATGGTTAGTCTTGCAGTTTTTAGGTGTTCCTCAAGGCCTGATCATGGTTATTTGTTCTCAGTGTTCACACGAGGGAATTCTGTCCAAACGATGCCCTCTCTGAGCAAGTTGTTAAGGGGGGTCACAGGGATCCTTGGTAAGTTGATGCCCCCTCTTCATGTGCGTCTGTTGGTCCTTCTCTTGTTTCAAAATAATAAAAAATAACCGACTAAACATGTGATGTCTGCAGGCCTTAATTTTGTTTGGGAATACCGCAGTCCCAGCAAGTCGGTCCAACCGCACTACCAGTGCAAACTCTGTTTCTTGTCCTGTTTGCAGCATGATATTATCGATCATGTCAAAGGCTGGAAGCATTGCTACAAATATATGGCAAGTACTGCTTTTTTTTTCTTCTCAAGTCTGACACCAAAGGCTTTATGTAACGGATGTACTCCTATAACATACTGCATTTCACAGAAAAAGAACCACGCTGACAAGATTACGTTTGAAGAAGAAGCTGTTGTTAAAGACCCGTCACTTAAAGCTTCACTCAGAGCTACTGCTGTTGAGGTGGACACGGCAGAGGAGAGGGGGCAAATTAAAGTAAGTGGCACTCGGTACCGTGGCTTTAACTAGTTCTATCAGGTGTCTAGAACTAGCTGAATGTGCCCTTTTACGGTAAACTGTCCGTGTGTTCATGAATCAGAAGCCCGTGTTGCACATCGATGCACCTTAAGCTTGGTTTATGCTTGACGCGTCCTCGAAGTTTGCACGGCTCCGCGTGGCAAACTTGCGTCATTTTAACAACCGCGCCCCTCCACAGCGCCTCCGCACGGCCCAAACTTTCCACACCACCCACCTAGGAAATTTTCCAACTACGCGGACAGTCGGACGCGGAAAAACATGGCGGACCGGCAAGAACTAGTATGGCAGAGGTTGGTAAATACAGACATTTGTATGATTCGGCTCTCAGAGATCACCGTGATCAACATGTTGTTAATAATTCTTGGAGAGAAATAGCTCGCACTGTCGGAAAAGACGAGGACGCTGCTAAAAATGCTGGAATGCCATGTTGTAAACAGTAATTTCTACTTCTACTATGGTGTAGTGTTGGATGCATGCCGTAGAGCTCCATGCTGCCCCCTACAGTTTGGGAGAATATTGGCTCACCGCAGAGACGAGCCGCATGAACCATAAACGCTGCGAGTTGTGAAGCGCGTTCCATCCGCGAGCCGCATCACCGCGCGGAAAGTGAATGCGTCAAGCATAAACCAAGCCTCACCCCCAAATTCCACTACCTCCGCTCCGACACGAACGCCGCAGCAAAATCGGTCCCGTTGTAGTCAATCAGAGCAATTCCACTACTGCGGCCGTGCTCCGGCCGTGCGCCGCCCTCTGTTCCGGCGTCCGGCAAAAATAGAATCAATCCTATTTTCGCCAGACGCCGGAGCACCTCCGCAGTAAATGGACAGAAATCACAACGGCCCAACAGGAAAAGGAGCAAGCACAATTTCCGTTTTTCACAATAAATCGATAAACAAAAGGCGTTTTTTGTTTCATATGCACAGGTTTAACAACCTTTAACAACTATCAATGGCGGCTGAACTTTAAATGCACAAAAGTGAGCCATAAATACAGTTTCCACTATCAAAGTAGTCACACTTTGTTGATCCAAACACTGCTGATCTCTCAACACAAATGATGGGCAGATTAAACAGTTCATGTCGATGCTTCTCCCACACAACGGGTGTTTGGATCTAACTTCCGCGTTTATTGCTCGGACTGTATCGCCAGATCTCGAAAATCCCGCGCATGCCTGTTTGCGCACCTCAGGTCTCCACACCGGAGCGGAGCCGTTGTAGAGCGGGTACCAGTAAAATTTGAGTTTGGAAGCGAGCGGCTGCGGAAGGCGGGGGCGGACCGGAGCGGAGGTAGTGGAATTTGGGGGTTAGTTTAAATGAGGTGTGGGCTTTGTTGCTACTCAGTGGAGCCGGCGTCAGAGGCGTACACAGAGCCAAACCGACATCCGTGTGAAACGGAGAGCCAGCATGGTGGGAAAAGCTAAATTGGATACAGTGACGCTGTTGTTCTAGAATTTGGATCCCACAATGTTGGCACACTTCCTGAGAGCCCGGACTGGGTCGTCATACTAACGCAGACGGGCAGGAACAAGAAACGGCATACAAGGTGTCTGCAGATTTAAGGGAGCCAGATTTAACTTTTCAAGGACCCGCGGATACCCTGTTGTAGCGACCTCCGTCGGTAAAATTGAGAAAACAAATTAAACTTTATTTGGAGTTTTATTGAACCGTGTTTTTGCCGTGGGTTTCCTGTAAACGACACATGATGGTTTTGTGTTTGTTTCTCGTTAATTTTAGGTGATTCTAAAGGAGCCGTGTGATGTTCTGGCTTTCAAAGGATTCCGTAAGTTTTTGTTTCTGGAAGCATGCGTTTAAGATCGTGGCTTTACCCAGTGCCGCTCGAGCCGTTGGCACCATTGAATTCTGCAACAGGACTTTAAACATCAGTTAAATACATAAAAATAGTTTTTCTTTTTAATGAGGTTTAGATGAACCCGGCTGCGCGCCTTCACTCGAGCTGACAGCGAATAGAAATCAGGTTGATGGCCCAGGTCACATGACAGGATTTTTAATTTGATAAACAGTTTTCGAAGCTCAAAGCCCGGATCAACCTGTGTGATTCTTGGCTGTCGCACAGGATCGTTCACGTCACACTGAGAACTCCAGAGAGGTGGAACGCTGTACGGGGCAAGATTTCAGTGAGGCAGACGGCACGACGTCTCCCTCCAGCAGGTCACGCAGCGTCATGAACGCACCTCCCGAAGCATACGTCACTAAGCAGACCGCTAACCAAAACGAAGCTGAAAAGATAAAAACACTTAGCTTTAGCATCAGTTCATGACCCAACTCTTCTTCCTCAAAGATGAAGCTTCCTTTTTAAAACCCTCGCTTTGGCGTCAGACTCCGGCTGCGGGTCTCCTTTTCCCGTCTTCCAGCTAAACAGCTGATCTGTCTGCTGGTCTTTCATCCTTCTCTTTTGTACACGAGAACCACTAAACTACAGAGGAGTAACCATCTGTCACAGATCGCTGCAACATCTAAACTTTAGCCGTGAATTCTGTCTGACGGCTCGGCTCCGTGACCGCTCACACCCGCTGTCCCTCTGCAGCGAAACGCTGCTGAAGCATCCTCATCAGCGGAATACGTGAGATTTCCACCAACAGCAAAGGGATCTCATGGTTTTTATGTTTGTGAGCTCGTCTCCTCTCGGCTCTCACGGATCACAGAATCACGGTTTTCAGTTTATCTGATGGTCTGACAGGTAGTTTAGTTATTTTAGTAGAACGCCGGTTTAACCTGGGCTGTTAACTAAAACTGGTGTGTAGTTTATAATCCGCATTTTAAACATAAATTGAAACCAAAGCTCAGAGAGGCGGAGTCTTGCTGCTGCAGCGTCCCAAAGGTGTGTTTTCATTGGTCGGTTGCAGACAGGAATCGTAGGTTTTCAAGCATCCTTGTAGACTGTCGGAGGCTGATTTGGTCCTGAGACGCCTCAGAAAGCCGTTGTAGAGCCGGTCAGACGGGACGTTCGCAGCATGGTGCACAGATGTATGCAGATCACCCCGATAGTGACCGTTTTTCTCACCGTTCTGCTCAGGACGAGGGTTTGGCAAAGACGGCCAAAAATCGCACCGTGTGATCCGGGCTAAAGACCTCACAAAAGTTCAGAGTATACCAAATCTGGCAAGTACTTCACACAAATCGATTTCGTACACAAACATTCCCCAGACAGATGGGTTGTTTCACAAGACGGTGACTTTTGCAGAAACAATCGTTGTGGAGTACGGTCGTGTTTGTGCTTCTGTTACCTCGCTTCCTAGCTAAGCAGCATGCACCATTGTTCCGGTACAAAAGTGGTGTGTCTGAAAACACAGTTCTGGTTAAAAAACGGATTGAATTGTCCGCAAATGTTCCAGAATGTCTGTCTGAAAAGGGCTTTAGAGCCGTTGTGGTAATTGGACGCAACCTTAAGATCGTCAAAAGTAGAGGAGCGGGTCAAACATTAGCACATTTATCCTGCTGTGTGATCTGAGCAGAGGTCTTTTTCCTTCTTTAGCAACATGCTCGCTGGACTTGAAGTTCACGACGTTTTTCCATGTTGTAGAAAACTAACTTTAGCAGACTTCTTGACCGACAATCAATTTCCCTTTGGGATTAATAAAGTATTTTTGAATTTGAATTGAATTCTGTTAATATTGCCAGCATGAAAACTGCATTTGCTTTTGATCGACTCACAGGTTCAGCTGCTCCTAAACCTGTGCCCCCACCAGTAATCAGACCAATCGCACCGCTTCTTGGTGAGTGCCCCTTCCATGTAATGGATGCTTTCTCAAAAAGAAGTGTGGAAGTTTTCCTAATTAGCATACCTATGTTGAATTAAAATCCTCTTGCAGGTCCCAGGTTCCAGGACTCAAGACTTCCCCCTCTTGGCGGTCCATTCGCTGACTATCCAGGAGAATATAAAAGGCCTGGTTTTGGAGATTATGCATCCAGAGGTCATTTCCCTGAATCCAGTAGGAATCGAGGACCCTTCACAGATGATATGGGTCAGTTTCCACCCGGGGGTGGAAATGGGTTTGGCCCGGATGGTGGAAGAGCTGGTGCCCAGGCGGGGGTCACTTTTAAGGATGGACCAATGGACAGGGGAGGTGCCATAGAGCACAGCAGTCTTCCTAACACTCTACTCGCATACCTGGTAAATTTTCCCACTCTAAGCTTCTTTCGCATTGAAATTGCAAATCTACATTTGGTTAATCAACTTCTGATTGTTGTTTTTAGGATACTTTCCAGATCGAGAGCGAGAGTGATGCACAGCTGGTGCTGAAGGTGACACAGAAACTGACCGATGTACTGATGGAGTACCGACTGAGAACCGTGTCATCGGTATGATCTTTAAAAAACCATCAGGCTCATTATTTAAAAACTGATCTTCCTTTTGTAGGAACTAGTAAATGTAATGAACAAAACCGGAGATTTTTACTTCTAAGTTTTGGATGCAAGTGGAGAGTTTGAATGTACTTTTCTTCTCAGGGTTCAGATCTTAACAGCGTGTCAACAGGCGACGATGGCCAATACTCGACCAGTCTCTCAGGTACGAAAGCAACAAGTCTCAGATTTAGTTTATCTGTCCAAGTCTTTCATTTTCACCTGAAAAACAACAGAAAACAAACCAAATAGGAAGTAAAGAACAGGGTGGCAGCCTGCCAGGCTTTGCTTGCCCACCCGCCAGGCTCAGTGCCATGCCCCGCCCCCCTCCCTGACCCTACCGTGTCCTTGCTGTTAGTTTTTTATGAAAACTGCCAGAAGAACACAACTAAAATACGATTGCATTATCTTTCATGTCCATCAGACTAATACGGAGTTGTCTGTTTGCAGGTCCATCCAGGTATTCTGATGGTCCAGCCAGGTATAAATGATGACCCAGGCATGACGCACAACGTTGGTGGCTGTCCCGAAGTTTGGGGGGGGGGGGGGGGGGGGGGGGGTCTCTTTAGTTCTGTTGTTTTAACTTGAACATTTGGAAATACGCAAAATGACTAGTTTGCTTTGGTTAAACTTTTACTTTTTTATACATTAATAAAAAATTCCCTGTTCAGTGATGCAATGTACTCAGTACCTGTAATAAATGCGTGTTGGTTTAGCCCTGTGGGCGGCAGTGCTTCTACGTACCTGAATATTAAATTACTTTAAACACATTCATTTCAGTAACATGACTGCATCTGAACCGGTGGACTTATTTAAAGAGCAAGTCACCACCAAATCACTTTTTTTTTTTGCTGATAAACTATATAAAGGAGTGTCTAATCATGCTGCAGACACGTGTCGTCAATAATTTGGCAGTTTAGTGCATCTTGGTTAAAATTCAAATATTCTGCCTAAAACTGTCAGTGTTGCGCCGTCGTCAGGGAAAAATTCTGCACTGTATTTGAATTTAAATCTGCCACCGCTATTGGCTAAGAGGTATGCTATGATGTCATATGGTATATTATGATGTCATGCCATTGTGAGCCTGTGTGTGTGTATTTGTTAGCGGCTCCGCCCTCTCGGTCTGCCAAGCAACAGCATTTGTTGCATTTTTCAAACATGAAGTGGGAGTGAAGTAAGTTTATTGTAGGGGGTGACTTGCTCTTTAATGTCACAAAGGTATTTAACGGTCTCCAGATTTAATAGAAAAACTAAGATGCACAGTTTTAAAATGTCTTTTAATGTGACACGTAGAAAATTATTCACATTTTCTTGCAAAAGCTATTTTCTTCAAATGTCCAAAGCAACTGCACGAGTCAACAACATTCCTCAAGCTTTGGCCAGGATGTCCTGCTTTTGCTTGACATTTATGAGGGTAAGAAGAACTTGACTCCCCAGGAACGGTCTTCCGTGGATCTTCAGAGCCTGAGCAGCTAGCTGTTCTGAAGGAAACGTAACCACGGCTTCACCGGTACCGTTACCATCGCGGTCATGTAGTTGAACGATGTTTTTCTTCACCTCAAACTGGCGGAATAGGCTCTTGATTTTATTCCTCGGAACATCTGCTGGCATGTTCCTAACAAAGATGCACACTTGAGAGGTCTGGTCCAAGTGTGGGCTGAGCTCTTTGTTGGTTTCAGGTCTCTGTCTGCATTTTCTAGGATCTCTAAGACGGGAACTCCAAATCCTTCGATGGCTTTTGAAGAGCATTTCATTCATGACTGGTCTAGTGACTGACAGGACTTCAATGGCACCAGAGCCCACGTGGCAACCTGAGAGGTTGATGGCATACTCAAAATCCTCGTGGCAGTTAAAGATGACGAAAGCCTGATCCGTTCTGTTGCTGCTGTGGTCGAGCAAATGGAGCACGTTTCTATGTGGAATGTTCGGACATCCAAACAGTTGTTTTATGTCCGTCTTTGTCATGTTTTCTGGAAGATTTTTCACCATAACTATGTAATCTTTAGATGAAGTCCTAGAAGCATCCAGCTCTGGTCTCTTTGATGGCTTCAGCTGAAACCTCTTTGGAGTTCTCTTGAGCTGCTGCTGAGCAGGAACAGAATCCCTCTTGTCACTCTCCTTAACGCCGTGTTGGTCAGGTTTCTGGATTGTTTGAAAATCAGAACGCTTTCCACATTCCTGGAGAGCGCCATTCCACATTTTCTCATCTGCTCCACGTACCTGGACACAGATGGAGCCCAGTGACTGTTCGTTGAAGCCAAGGGCAGCATATGCATCTCGCATTTTTGCAAACTTCACGAGGCAACCGTGATTAACTCCCAACTTCACATTTACGATGGCTTCCTGTACTGCCAGTCCTTGGAAAAAATGGCAGATGTCCACCTTTGACGTTGAAGCTGGCAGACCAAACAGCCTGACATAGCCTGGCCTTGAGTTGGAGGTCTGCTCGGGCGTTTTCGCCTCTGCAGCACTTGTCTGGAGACCTTGAAGGACCGTACACATGCCGAGATAAAAAGCGGTACTGGCATCCATAGGCTGCACGTCTGGTGTATTCGATCTGGGCTGTTCCTGCTGATCGTAGACAGGTGATGAAACTTCACCAGCTCTGTCTTCGCGTGGGCTTGTCGTGACGTGACCAGCTGAATTTGGGTGTGATTTCTTCTTTAACAACGACTTGAGCTTCTGCTCCAGCTCTGCCATGCTGCTTATGTGCAGAGTCACTGGAGACCCTTTGAGAGCACTTCCGGTTCGACGCATGGCCAGCTGTGCATCTCTCTCGGTGCTGAAGGCAATAAAGGCCTCTCGCAGACTTCCTCCAACGATGTAAACTCCTCCATCAGGTATGTGCAGAGAACTGAAGAATGACCGTATGTCTTCTGTGCTTGCTTCCACATGCAAGCCTCGCAGGAGCAGGATCACGGTCATTTTCTCGTGAAGGCTGAGGGCGTGGGTGATTTTTTTCCAAATCTCTGGTGAAAAGCCCAGAACATCAGTGTTTAAGAAGTATTAACGAGGAATAGGAAAAGAGGAAACATGCGCAAGAGGAAAGGCGGGAAAACTCAAACATGTACTCACGTTAGTCGTTTTAAGGTCCAGGGTTCGTCTCGTGAGGTTTGTTGTTGCTGAAGTTCGTCATCACGACGGGAACGTGCAGAGAAACGTGCTCCTGCGAATCCCCCCCCCCCCCCCCCAAAAAAAAAACCACAGCTAACGTCACCCCCGGAAGTGGCAGCGCTCCGAGGGGGAAACCACCCGACTCGTCTGCGTCCAGGGAGCAAAAGGACATTTCACAATGAGAATTAATAAAAGTGAAGAAGCAAGAGCTGCCTGACCTGCAACAGAGAAATCTGTCACCTACCTACCTGGTCTGTTTACCTGTGCTCGTCCCTGCTGCTGCCCTGTGTCTTAAGCTGCCTTCATGAGTCTGCTCTGTGGCAAAAAGGATGAAAGAAGCTTTGCAGAAAATGCTGAAATGGGATGGAAAGCAGTGTAGAATTCAACCCAGCCCCCTTTTATCCCACGTGTTTCCTCAGCAACTGTTTTGTTTTTATTTCAAACACGTGGAGAGGCACAGTGAGGGCAAGTTCTGGACAGAAATGAAACAAAATTGGATTTATTTCCAGCCTGAACTAACTAGGAAGGTGAAAACAACGGTTTAACACGGCATGTATTAACAAGCCATCATCTGCATGCAACTTAGAAGCATTTTACTCTTAAGTATTAATTATCAAATAAAAATATTTTGTTACAAAATTTGACTAGCAATTTCTAATCAAACATACAAAACTATTATTTTAAAGAGCAAGTCACCCCCTACCAGATTCCTGCTCAACTCCCATTTCCTGTTTGAAAAATGCAACAAATGCTGTTGCGAGCAAGATACTCTGATACACAAGATACATACTATAAATATTATTACTTAGATTAGCCATTTTTATATTTTGCTTGTTTTTACGTTATTGTATTTTGCACAACTGTTGCTGTGAAACTCGCGCACAAGAATTTCACTCGCATGTACTGTACCAGTGCACATGTGACGTGACGATAAAAGTGATTTGATTTGAAGAGGGCAGAGCCACTAACAAATACACACACTCATGACATTGTGACATCATATTGTACCATCTAACATCATAGTGTACCTCTTAGCCAATAGCGATGGCAGATTTAAATTCAAATGCTGTGCAGAGTTTTTACCTGACAACGGCACAACACTGACAGTTTTAGGCAGAACATTTAAATTTTAACTAAGAAGAACTAAAATGCTGAATTATTGACTGCATTTGCCAACAGCAGGATCAGACACTCATTTGTATAGTTTATCAACAAAAAAAATGTTGATTTGGAGTGACTTGCCCTTTAAGATAGATGCCCAACTACACACTAAGGGATTTGTTGAAATTTTAAAATGGTAATTTTGGTTTTAATAGGAATTAATGCGTTTTGATCTTGTGAAAACACAAGATAAATCCAAAAGCAGGAAGTATCAGCAGCAAGCTGAAGGAGTACAAAATGAGTATGACGTATTTTACGCCCTTTAGTGGCAATGAGGGTAATTTACTACGGTTGAAGGATTACTCTTAAAGGGGAACTATGCGGTTCGGTTTGCTTTTAGCACCTCACAGTGTCCGTTTGAAGAACCAAAAGCAAAACATATCTCCTCGCTGTGCGTTTGTCTTTTAAACACCCAAATCTAAATGTCTCCCCAGCCGTCCTTGGTGTCTACAGGAACAATTCATTACCAAATTAAACAACTCAACTGTGTTCACGATCTCCAACATGTTCCAGCCAATGACTGTAGAAACAGTCCCAACACACCCACCAGTCTGAAGATGCAAGTGAAAAATTCTGGCCACAGAGGGCGATAGGGGCTGGGTGGTGGCGCAGTTGTTACTGTTGCCCTGCAGCAAGAAGGTTGCAGCTTCGAAACTCGGCTGCAGCCTTTCTGCATGGAGGTGCATGTTCTCCCCATGCATGCATGGGTTTCCTCCAGGTACTCTGATATCCTAGCCTGGCAAGCAAGACTATATAAATACACACAAAATAAACTTTGCAAAGCCGGAATTAGGTCTAGTTCAGTAGGCTACTGGTTTCCCCCATAGATCACAACATGCACATTAGGTGAATAATTGTATGTTGCTTTGGATAAAGTAGTCTGCCAAATTGTTAGGTTTTTAAAGTATTTACTGACTTTAATGTTCCTTTTTAAGTAATCCTGCCTTAAAGAATGTCTCAGGACTTTCTTTCCTTCCAGCTTTGGTATGCTGATAAGTTGTGGGGGTTGTGAAATAGTCTGCCTGGCAACAGGAGTACATAGTTTCTGAATGAGTCAGCAGTTTTTTTTTTTGTCTTTCAGCAGGCAACCCTGTAACTTGAATATGCAAAAATCACTGAATAAGTGAATAAAGTGACTAAAGTGTCGTCTGTATAAAAGTTAAATATATGGAGAGCCCAAGGAGAGGGATTATCGGGGGATGGTCTGATCTTATCTGCTGGAGTTAAAGAGCTGAATGGCTTTGGGGACAAAGGTGGCCCTCCTCCTCTCAGTCTTGCAGGAAGTGCAGCGTAGGCGTCGCCCAGAGGGGAGCCATTGAAATGCGGGCTGAAGAACGTGAGAGGGGTTGTGGAGGATTTTGGCTGCCTGTCTCAGGGCTTGTTGATAGAAAACCTGAGCAAGAGTTCTGACAGGCAGGCCATCGATGTTGGAGCACACTGATGCAGTGTGCTGCAGTCGGTTCCTGTTCTGGAGGCTAAGAGAGTAGAACCAGCAAGTGATGGAGAAGGTCATGATGCTTTCCAGGAAGGCACAGTAAAAGGTCATCATGACTGAGGAGCTGACTCCAAAGGAGTTGAGCTTCCTAAGGAGATATAACCCTGAGCATTCTCTTCACAAGACTGTCCGACAACGGAAGAGTGTCTTCAGTCAGAGGCTTCTTCAGTTTCGCTGCAACACTGACCGCTACTGGAGATCCTTCCTGCCAACAGCCATTGTAATATACAACACCTCTTTGATGACTTGATTATTATTATTATTCTGAGCTACTACAGCAATCAGTTTCCCTCTGGGATTAATAAAGTATTTTTGAATTGAATTGAATAACCGTTGGTGGCACTTTCTGAGAATCTCTTCTGTGTTAGCAGAGAATTTCAGGAGGTTGTCAAAGGTGGTTCCCAGATCTAAAAATACCCAACACAAATAAACAAACATAAAATATTGACCACCTTCATTTGATCTAGAACTCTGCAGCGAGGCTCCTAACTGGAGTAAACAGAAGAGCACACATCACTCCTATTCTGATGTCTCTGCACTGGTTACCCATTAGCTTTAGAGTTAATTTAAGACTCCTGACTATAACTTTCATGGCTCTACATGGTCAAGCTCCTCCCTATATTACCGAACTGTTAAAGCTTTATGCTCCAACCCGAGCCCTCAGGTCCACCCACCAGAACCTTCTAGAAGTTCCAGAGACCAGATAGAAAAGTCGAGGTGATCGCTCCTTCCAGACTGTTGCACCCCGACTCTGGAACGATCTTCCTTTATCCTTACTTGCGTTGACAGTCTGGACACTTAAAAAAAACAGCTAAAGACCCTTTTATTTAAAGCTGCTTTTACCTAAATCTTTTATTTTCTTTTTTATATAACTCAAAATTGTAATCATCATTTGTTTATGGTATTGTATGATTTTATGACTTCGTTTTTCTAATTTTAATTTATGACTATTTGTATACTTGTTCACTTATTTGTTTATTATTTATTTTGCTTTGATCTATGTGAAGCACTTTGTGATTTTCTGTCTGTGATGAGTACAAATACAATTTACTGACTATAAAATTAAAACAGGTAAATTAAAAATAAAACAAGTAGATAATAGTTTATATCAAATAGATGTATTTAGTTAGAAATTATGACTATTCTATGTTTTCTAATCAAACACAGATATAAACCCAATATTACAACACACAGAGACGGAAATGTTTTAGAAATTTATTTTAGTTTTAAACAAGAAAAACGAATTTGTTCAGATTCAACAATAAATTTATAAATTACTAAAATAAAAACAAACTAAACCAAATAAGCCAGAAGTAACCATTAACTTCTTTCTATCTATCTATCTATCTATCTATCTATCTATCTATCTATCTATCTATCTATCTATCTATCTATCTATCTATCTATCTATCTATCTATCTATCTATCTATCTATCTATCTATCTATCTATCTATCTATCTATCTATCATCATCATCATCATCTATCTATCGTTAGTTTGGTCGGTAGGGGGCGCTATCTATCTTCATAATTTTGGGCCGACGCACGCAGACACGTTAGCAAACGTCATCGCGCATCGCAGAGACTTGTGGGTAAAAAGGAGGACCGTTGTTTTGCCATGGCGACGGGGACGCTTGTTTTTGTTTTTAACGGACACACGGTGCTCTTAGCATTATTCTTTTTAATAAACACTCATTTGTTTTGCTGTCAGCAGTTTATCATCCCCCTGGAGGCGCCCTCGGATTGTGGCGAGGAAGAATTTTTTGATACATCAAGTTTGTCTTGCGCAAAGTGCGGTTCGAATCAGCGCCAGAGCACAACAGGTCGGTTTCACCACAATCATGCCTGCTTTAGCCGTGTCACAAATGATTATAATAAAACAAAATAAAAAAACGTCTTACTGTTTTTACTTTTAAATGTTATAAAAGGAGTGAAGCGGTCCATCACGCAAACTTCTAAATAGCTGCGAGGGGCTAACTGTTAGCTTGCTTCCTTACATTGTGTCTTACAGAAACTGGTTGGACGTGGTTAAAAGCAAAAACTACGAACTGAATAAACACCGAGTCTTGATTAAAAGGTACATAAAATACTTTTGAGCCAGTGAAAGTAAGGGCGGCGTTACGGTGTTTTGTTTACAGTCTCAGTGATAAAAGTAATCCTGTCACAAAGACACATTTCCCATGGCGGACCTAAGCAGTTTGGGGGCCCAAGGCAGACAAAGCCACGCGGGCCTCTGCAGCTGTTGTCTTGAACCTTTTTTCGATCCTTACTTAGAAAAAAGCGCTGGAGCAAGCTGTGACTTCTGCTTTTCGTTTGCAGCATTAGCGCAGCGTCCAGATGTTCTTATGTGACCGTGTTGCCACAACCTTTTCACTCGCTTCCTGCTTCTTTTACTTTTTAGAGTCCTTTGAATAGCTTCACTTCCTCTTTGCTTAATTCTTTCACCCATTATTATTATTATTATTATTATTATTATTATTATTATTATTTGCATCAGATGACAAACTTGCTCATCAATCATTCACATCCATTGCTATGGCCTAGTCCCGTGAGTCCCAAACTGGGGTCTGGGACTCCCAAGGGGGTCCACACAATTTTGTCTGCGCTGAGGTTGTGAGGTTAGCAATATTTTATTTGTAAAAGTTAGATTTATAAAACCCCAATAACATAACATAACTATAGTCCAAACTCCATATAAACGGTTTAACTCTGTCACATTTATTGTGTGTATGGAGTTGGGCATCCTGGCTTGTCTTGGACACGGGTAAGGGGGGTCCTCAGCCCATCCAAAACTTTTTTAGATTTTTGAAAGAAAATAAATATCTCAAACGCCTTAAAGTGTCACGGGGCCCTTGAAGTGATTGAGCCCAAGGCGATCACCTACTGTTGCCTATTGGTAAGCCCACCTCTGCACATTTCACTTAGTTTCATCAACTGCAGCAAAATCATTTTGATGAGATTAATCAAACCAAATGTTATCAAATTTATGTCAGAGGTATTGAGTCTGCATGATAACAAGCACAGTAAAAATGCATAATTGCTTTCAGTACATGTTATTGTATTTACACATAAAACCAAAAAGCCAATCATGGTTACAAAACTGTTTTGATTCTCTCCTGGTTTCCTTGTTTCTCTACTATAATTTACTGCTAATGTCACCAAAATGTCTGTTCTGTTTGTCACTGATTCTTCGTGCACGTGCTTTAAGGTTAGACGGACATAAAGCTGCTCCTAGGAGGAGACTCCTCCTCACACGTAACTCGTTGCTTTTGCAGGGCTGAGCTGCATTTGCCAAAGTGGGTTCAAAACCACAAATCTCACCTCAGATAAAGCGTCCATCACTTGCGAACAATGCCCCACGAGCAAGCCGGTGCGTTGAAATTTACTTAATTATTGCATCCCCCACTTAATACACAGCATGTTAGCGTGTGTGTGTTTTAGTTTGTGACTGTTGATTATCTTCCCAGGCAGTCACAACGGATGGGTTTGGATGTATTCGCTGTCCAGGAAGCCTCAGCGATCAGGGGAAGTGTCAGTGCCCAACTGGCAACATCCTGGGTAAGACAGCAACTCACCGAACATAACGTCGCCCATCTTTACCGCCGGTTGTTCTTGTTTCACGTTGAGCTCATAGAGGTGATAGCAGAGATTATGTGATGTAAAAAAGAGATGAAGTTTTGTTTCTGTTTCAGTGGAAAGAGATGTCAATGGCAACCTCCTGGAAGTGGCCAGATGTGAGGCATGCAACAATGACAGCCCTGCTCTGTCTGTACCCAACATCAGAGGAGACGGGTAACCCCACGTCACGCAGATCCGCGTCCAGCAACGGGATCAAAGCGTCAGATTAGGAATAATCTTCAAAAACTGTCTTTCAGATGCGAGCGATGTCAGACCACCTTTATAAATACCTCCTGTGTGTGTACTTCTCCCAACGTCCTGGTAGGACACACACGCACGCACGCACGCACGCACACACACACGCACACACACACTAATGGTTTCTTTTTCCGTAGGCAGGAGGATTGTGTTTTCCTTCTGGCAGCATTTCATCCGATGTGAATCCCAGTGTTAACTTTGCTCAGTTGGTGAGACTCTCTTTTATTTAGCTCATATATTCGGATCACTCGCTTTCCTGATTTTCTCTTCCCTTGTGTTTTTTTCCTCGTGCAGAAGTTCAGCATCCAGTCCGCCTGGTTTGTGGAAAACCTCTACTCCTCCTCAGCAGCATGCCTAGTAATCCTAAGAACTTCATTTTCAGGGCTACAGATGAGGATGTATTACAGGAGAAGCACGCGTATCACTCCTTTTTCTCCTGACAGGTCTTCTCGAACCTGACGGCGTGTCAGGCTCTGGGGAACATGTGTGTGATGAGCATGCACTCCGTCAGCGGTCTGTCCTCTGATGCTTGTGGTCTGTTTTACACCATCTTCAGATCCAAGGCCGCCTTGAGCTCGGTCCACAACATCGCCTACTGGTAACCCTGTCTGAATTTTCCATCTCCGCATGAGTCCAAGTTTGTTTCGGTTTGGTTTCAGTAACCGGTGTGATTTGTGTCCGTCTCTCTGAAGGAGAGCTAACCTCCCGTGGCTTTACTACGGGGATGAACCGGGACTCGCCGGACGAGTCCTTCAGACAGACCCCGTTCCCGTTGTCTTTAGTTTCAGGCTAAATAAAAAGGTAAATGTTAAACTTCATTCATCTTTACATCCAATCAGGAGCAAAGAAAACATGTCTTGGTGGTTGCTGATGCCTGTAGTGTTATTTGAATAGATCTTTTGTTTATTTTGCCAGAACACAGACATTAAACTGCTTGCTGCTGTTTATAACGTCAGAGGGGAATTCCTTAGATGGGAACAAGTAGGAGGACGTAACCTGCAGGTAAGATCTCAGGAGCTGTTCAGGACTGACTAGATCCTGATTATTCCGCCTGAGTTGCTGCAATAGTTTAAACCCGTTTGTTCTTTTACAAAAACCTCCTCCCAGACACTGATCGTGTTTACCTGGAGCAGACGATACCTTAGTCCTCCAGCAGGTTGTTCTGTGTAGGGTTTGTGGAGTTTGTTGAGTCGCATCGAGCTGTCCTCGGCCAAACCAGAAGTCCCTCCAGACCAGCGCTCCGTCCCTCGGGTCTGAAGTCCTTTACACCTGATGGGTCTTACCCAGCACAGGATGCCTTCGCCTTGATGCCGTCTGCCTATGATCTGAGCGTTTTACCCTCCAAGCAGCCTTTAGCAGTGTACTTTTATAAACTTTACTCTCTTCTTGAATCAACACGAAGTGTTGATTCAAGAAGAGAGTAAAGTTTATAAAAGTAAGGAATTTACAACCGTTTCTGTCCTCCCGTTCTACTTCCTGTTTACTCTCATAAGTCACAAACAACTCTTGACATTTAATCACTATAACCAATAAACACGTTAACATAATTCAATTCAATTCAAGTTTATTTATAAAGCGCCAAATCACGACAAGAGTCGTCTCAAGGCACTTCACATAATAAACATTCCAATTCACAGTTCATTAAGCCAATCAGAAATAATGTTTCCTATATAAGGAACCCAGCAAATTGCATCAAGTCACTGACTAGTGTCAGAGTCTTTACAGCAATCCTCATACTAAGCAAGCATGCAGCGACAGTGGAGAGGAAAACTCTCTTTTAACAGGAAGAAACCTCCAGAGAATCCTGGCTCAGTATAAGCAGCCATCCTCCACGACTCACTGGGGATGGAGAAGACGGAGCAGGCACACACACACACACACACACGCACGCACGGACGCACGCACACACACACACACACACACACACACATCATTCATTCCTAATCATCGATTCATAACTGTTGATTCAGATTGCCATTTTATCATTACTTGGTTTTAAAAACATAATCTTGTTCAAACATTACATAAAATCATTCATTTGAATTTTTTTTTTCAGCTCTTATGCTTAAAAAGTCTGTTTGTGTCCATCTTTGTGTGTCGTGGGTGACGGAGGCTCGGCTGATGTCGCTTGATTCAAACAAGACACGCCAAAAGATGGCTTCACTCACCTCCTCTCGTTGTTTCCTGTAGTTTTGTCCGGAATCGGCCACCAAACAGGAAACGGCCTTCAGCTTCGGAACGGCCTACCAACAAAGCGTGAGTCTTTTTATGATTCGATCTAGAGAAGTCTGGTCCTGTTGCCTTCGTCAGAACGGGATCTCCGGCTTTCACTGGAGCGGTTAGCGGCCGAGTGGGAAGCAGCTGGGATGAGAATCAGCTCCTCTAAATCTGAGACCACGGTCTTGAGTCGGAAAAGGGTAGAATTCCTTCTCTGGGTCAGGGATGAGGTCCTGCCCCAAGTGGAGGAGTTTAAAGAGCAAGTCACCCCCAAATAAACATTTTTTTTGCTGATAAACTAAATAAATGAGTGTCTAATCGTGCTGCAGACACGTGTCGTCAATAATTTGGCACTTCAGTGCATCTTAGTTCAAATTTAAATATTCTGCCTAAAACTGGCAGTGTTGTGCCGTTGTCAGGTAAAATCTCTGCACTGTGTTTTAATTTAAATCTGCCACCGCTATTGGCTAAGAAGTATGCTATGGTGTAAACTGGTACATTATGATGTCACAATGTTGTCGTGAGTCTGAGTGTGTGTGTATTTGTTAGCGGCTCCGCCCTCTCGGTCTGCCAGGCAACAGCATGTGTTGCATTTTTCAAACATGAAGTGGAGTTAGACTCTGGTAGGGTTGACTTGCTCTTTAAGTATCTCAGGGTCTTGTTCACGAGTGATGGAGCGTGAGATCGACGGGCGGATTGGTGCTGCGTCTGCAGCAGGGGTGGGGATCCTTGGTCCTTGAGGGCTGCTATCATGTTTTAGTTGTTTCCCTGCTGTAACACACTTGCTTCAGTGGTTGAACTGCCTGTTCTACAGCTCATCAGGCTCTGCAGAAGCCTGTTAATCACTTGATGATTAAAAGCAGCCGTGTTGGAGCAGGGAAACGGCTAAAACATGCTGGATAGCTGCACTCGAGGGACCAGATGTATTCTTGATCTAAAGTGATGCAAGCATTGTACCAATCTGCCGTGGTGAAGAGAGAGATCAGCCGGAAGGTGAAGCTCTAGATTTACCGAGCGATCTACGTTCCTACGCTCAGCCCATAGAGGGCGAGGAGCTCGGTCATTCTGGGCTCGTCCAACTGGGAGGAGACCTAAAGGGAGACCCGGGACACGCTGGAGGGACTCTGTCTCGCAGCTGGCCAGGGAACACTTTAGGACTCCCCGGGGGAGGTGGCCCAAGTGGCTGGGGGAGGGAAGTCTGGTCCTCGCCTCTCTGCTCAGGCTGACGCCCCCGTGACCCGACCCGGATACAAGCGGTTGAAGATGGATGGATTTAGAGAAGGAGAAACAACCTGTAACAGATACAATATAACAGCGTGTGTGTGTGTGTGTGTGTGCGTGCATGTGTGTGTGTGTGTGTGTATGTGTGTGTGTGTGTGTGTGTGTGTGTGTGCGTGTGTGTGCGTGCGTGTGTGTGTGTGTGTGTGTGTGTGTGTGCATGTGTGTGTGTGCGTGTGTGTGCGTGTGTGTGTGTGTGTGTGTATGTGTGTACTTGTTTTACCTACCCCGTGGGGAACTTGGCCTGACTGTCTGCATGCTGATGGGGACCCATTTCCCCATGGGGACTTTTTTGAGGTCCCCACAGGCACAACCCCATAGGAAGCTTAAAAACAGTGCATAGAAACGTAATATGCAAATTTCTCTAAAGTCCCCATGTGAGCATTTTCAAACCAAAATCAGTGTGTGTGTGTAGCCATGCGCCCCTAGTGGTAACACACAATATTGCAGTCCCCATCGGCTTTGGTGTTCTTGAAGTGTGTATGTGTTTCTTCACTCGGTGGTGCCATCTACTGGTCAGAATTGGAATGCCAGCTAATATTTATTTGCTCTATTGCGCCATTTACTGGTCAGAAGGAGAATGGCAGTACAGCAATACATTTTTGATTAGGTTTCCATTTTTCATGATAGACATCAAAACAAATTTTACTGCAAGATAAAAGCTAAGTACTGGAGTAAAATATACTTGAATAAAACAAATCCTATTTTATAATTATAAAATCAATATTTTAAAATTCAATATAAGCAGTGAACCTAAACTTTTTATATATGGTCAATAAACCTCAAAAACGCATGAAACTTTTTCAGTGGGTCTTGGCGAGTTCTTAAAACATTATAAATAAAAAGAGCTTTTTTGTTGTTTGATACATTTGATACATTTTGCCCCTTTTAAAAAGATAATAGGAACTAAAGTCCAGACAGCCTTATTAACTTATATAGCCTTATTTTTACATTGAACTGTTACCGAATCGTCATATAATGACCCAGTGTTGCATCATTGAATTTCAGTCATCTAATTAAGGTAAACATTTAGAAAAAGTCTTTAAAAGGGCTGAGCCAGTCTAATTTCTTGAGAATTGGAAATTAATTAAATCTATACACAGACATTTTATGAAAGGGGGCACCGTTCATAAAATGGACAGAGAGGAAGTTGTTTGGACTCAAAAATCACTTTCTGGAGAACAGCTCAGTTAAAACCTACAGCAACAAATCACTATGTCCTCCCTACTATAACACAGCAAGCTGCTGTGTTGCTCTGAGTATTTTTTCTCATTCACTAAAACAAACAAATGCTTTATGCCTTCTAATACAGTCAAAACTAACTACTGCCAACTTAGAACACTGACCACTGACCATCCGTATGGCAAGAAGTATAAAACCAAGATGGGGATTTGAACCTGCAATGACATCTCAGTTTTTTTAAATGATGTTCTTTTTGCTTGGGACAAAAAGAACCTCATTGAACATTTAAAAAGAGGACATAATGAACATTGTAAGGAAACTGCAATGGCATCCGTATATATGGCAGTCAAGGTTTCATCCCAGTGAACCACTGAGTGTGACTCCCCTCTATTACAGCCATGTTTTCTTTTCTAAACTCTGAAAAAAGTTTTACTTTTGAACTCAGTACAATTTTTTTTATTTTTTATGAGCAAATAGTATGTAGATGCAAGCAGTCGGAACGAGATGAAACGAAAATAGGGTTCACCTTACCCCCTAATTCCACTACCTCCGCTCTGGTCCGCCCCCGCCTTCCGCAGCCGCTCGCTTCCGAACTCAATTTTTACTGGTACCCGCTCTACAACGGCTCCGCTCCGGTGCGGAGACCTGAGGTGGGCAAACAGGCATGTGCGGGATTTTCGAGATCTTGCGATACAGTCCGAGCAGTAAACGCGGAAGTTAGATCCAAACACCTGTTGTGTGGGAGAAACATCGGCATGAGCTGTTTAATCTGCCCATCATTTGTGTTGACAGATCAGCAGTGTTTGGATCAACAAAGTGTGACTACTTTGATAGCAGAAACTGTATTTATGGCTTACTTTTGTGCATTTAAACTTCAGCCGCCATTGATAGTTGTTAAAAGTTGTTAAACCTGTGCATATGAAACAAAAAACGCCTTTTGTTTATCGATTTATTGTGAAAAACGGAAATTGTGCTCGCTCCTTTTCCTGTTGGGCCGTTGTGATTTCTGTCGATTTACTGCGGAGGTGCTCCGGCGTCCGGTGAAAATAGGATTGATTCTATTTTTGCCGGAACAGAGGGCGGCGCACGGCGCCACACTGCCGGAGCATGGCCACAGTAGTGGAATTGCTCTGATTGACTACAACGGGACCGATTTTGCTCCGGCGTTCGTGTCGGAGCGGAGCGCAGCGGAGCGGAGGTAGTGGAATTTAGGGGTTAGAACCTCATGAGGAGCCTAAGTGTGTTCAGTGTTTCCAATGTAGTTTTTATTAATCCTGCCCATCATATTTATTAAATTTGCACGCAGATCATTATGCAAGACCTTTGGTACAATAACAAAATGTATTTACCAGTTATTTTCCTGCACATTTATACATATAATTTCATGGGGACAGAAATGGATGGAAATGGCACCCATTCAGTGGAATGGCCCACATCACGTTCGTTTTATTTCAATAAATCAATCCATTGAGTTCTTTAATACTGATTGTAAAACCACAGAAGAGCAGCAATGTAGAATTCCATGGCAGGGAACCCGCTCAACACTCACTTCATGCTCTGATGTAAATTGAGGCTTTTAAATAGGTGCACATGAAGGGCACGCGCTACGGCACGGTCACGAGTGTTTCTGTGGAGATGCTCGTGTGCACTTTGGTATAAATTCGGGATAAAATAATCGTCAGAATTATCATTTTTAAAAATGATCATTAACCCCAGCCCTATATATAAAATAAGTTTTGTATCAATCACATGTATCAAAGCTTCATAAATCAACAATCCAAGATATTGTAATTCCTCCATTTCCACTATATCACAATTATTAAAACCCTCTTGTTGTGTTGTAACATTGTTGCTGTTGTTTTGTTTATTGCGTGTTAGCTCCCAATGTCAAATGTATAAATGAAGGATCGTGTAAAGCACCTTGAATTGCCATGTTGCTGAAGGTGTACTATACAAAAAAATGCCTTACCTTGCCTGAAAGGCGTGTGTGTTGGAAAGAGGCAAGCCTAAAGGCCACATTTCCTCTGTTGGTTGACCCCTATGACCTTTGACACTTCCTAAGGTGCTGTGACTCTGACATTTTGCACAGTGAATGGCTCAACCCCCATGATGATCAGAATTTATTTTGAGATTCCTAGGTCAAAGTGTTTGAGAGTTAATCATTTTCCCTCCATTTTGTAATTTGGAACAAAAAAGTGAAATGTTGGCCTCTATACGGCAACCTTTGACCCCACTTAGGTTAAACTTAGCACAGGGGATGGCTCTAACCTCCCTGACAACATACTCAAACCTTGAGTTATTAGCTCCAAGTGTTTAAGCGTTATTTAGAAAAACATATTTAACAATGCCTCCTTTAATGTTGGGCTAACAAAGGAGCCGTTACTGACCCTTGCTGTCATGTACACAATAGGTGTGTTTCCACAATCGGAATTCCCGGTAATTCGACCAGAACGTCCCATACTCGCGTATCTCCACTGTAGCCAACCAGATCGTTTTTGGGGCCATTTCGGGGACCATCCGAGTCCCTGAATTCAGGTCTGTACCAAGCCCCAACCTCTGATTCTGAAGACTGTTCCTACCGTTGAAGTGACAACAATTGCAGTTCCCCATATTGGCTGGTGGCTGGCTGCAGAAAGGAACAAATTCCCATTGTTAATCATGCTAACTTCACAGGAGAAAGATCTTTACTGCCTTGTTAAAAAATCATATTCAGTTTACCTTCATGACCAATCTGAGTCAGGTGATTTGTTTTATAACTCATCCATTTAGATGTAATTTAATCTTGATATTATAAATAATTAGGGTTGTGGCTTAGACGTCAGCACTAGTGCTGGTTGCTATAGTGGCTAACAGCTACCCCGTAGATGGCTGAGGCTCGCCTGCTGCTCCACAAGGCCCAAGCCTCGCAGTCACAGTAATACTGTGGTCGTTTCTTGGCTGGAGATAACCAGCAGCTGACACTGCCACCCTGCGAAGGAAAGATGCTCTAGATAATGAATATGATTAAGCTGATTTAACATTCTTTTGTTTATGCTTAGGAAGCAGAGTTGCGGTTCTCTGCTTAAAATTGCCTGCCAAATCTTGTTAGGTCAAGATTAGCACCGGGTTAGCTCAGTTTAGTTCCACCGGCTCACTGCTATGGTTGTCAACTGTCCGCTCACCCACTCAACGTTCTCACTCTCACCTCCACCATCTTTAGTAGCTAAGATGGCAGCGGTGGAAACCACCCTTTATGCTTCATCTAAGCTCTTCAGCTATCTGTAACGTTATGGGGCCCCATCCATCTTTACCCAAAAGCCAAAAAATCCAGTCAACTTTCCCTGTAGTTCTAATACTGAAAATACACCAAACATGATATGTATATGTCAGTTATATCACTGCACAGTTCTAGTAGGCCTACATTACAGGTAATACTCTGAACATCCACATTATGATACAGTGAAATTTTACAATAGCAGGTTGCTGTCATTTCCTAAAAGTAGGCCTTCATTATAACTTTTAATATAGTATTGTGAATTTTTATAGTATCATGCTGGTAGTGATTTGACTAATACATGATTTACTCTGAAATTATTATTGGTCATTATAATTTTGCACAGTACGCAATGAGTTGCTGCATTTTTACAATAGACTGCTATACTGGTTAAGGTTTCTATAGTACACAGCGAAACCACACACATTGTAAATACATTTAATGATCAGATAAAATTAAGAGAAAGGGAGGAAAAAAATTCTTTATTTTATTATTTTTTTGTATATTAGTTTCTTTTTATTTAAGGCATGTTGGGGTGTTGTGGTACAATGTAAGAATTTCAATTCATACTTTGAATCATAAATGTCATAATAAATGTATCTACAAAATATTTATGTTTTTAGTTTTCTAATTTCTAATTTCATTTAAGGTAATAATTTCAAGAAAACATTTTTAATAAAAAAAACTATTTAAACAAATGTCATGGCTATAAAATATTAAATTTGGAGGTGCTTTGGGTTGCAAAGCTCATACATTTAACACAGATCCGGACATTTTAGGTCCCCACTATAACCATGCCCATCCCCCACTCTGCTTGCACATGTGAAAGCATGCTGTTAGCTAACTGCTGGCTAATGAAAAGGAGGCGTTGAATTTATCCACCCCTTCAGTATTGGCCAGGCTTCCATGAACACATTAAGCTATAAAACCATTACAGGAGCATCTGTCTGTCAACAGTAGTCTCCCTAATTAGTTTCACCTACAATAATGATTAGGTTTTTTCCTGCACAATCAAAAAGGTATGTGAAAAAGAATTTAAGTGAGACTGCCATGCTGGTGTGCGCTCGAGTTTAGATCGAGCGCTCCCTTTCAACATGAACACCTGCAGAGCGGTAGCAGTGGCAGACCCACACTGTGCCTCAGGAAGAGTAGACATGCGGCGGAGAACCAAGTAAAATGGTAAGTTTTACTTATATTAAGCTGCTAGTTAATCATATGTTGCCTTAAAACAACTCGTAGTAAGAATATTTGTATTGTGGGTAACTGGCTGTGTTATTTGTGTGGGTAACTGGCTGTGTTGTCTTACTAAAGTTTTTAATTCAATTACTTAGTATATCTGATGTTGTTTATTATCTAAAATGTTGAACTTCATAAAAATTATTCCATGTTTAAAAAATACTGTTTTTGCTTAATTTCCTAAATGCTGCATTCACACTGCCCAAAGTGGCAGGAGCAACCAGATTCTATGTAAAGTCTGTGAGGTTAAAGTGCAGCTGCGTCTCTGCGGTGCTTTGCCCCAGATGAAGCATGCAGTGGTAATGCAACATAATATGCAGCAAACTGAACTTCTTTTGTGTGGAACACTGAAGTGTTCAATTTTGAATAACTAAAACATGAAATAGATAAAAGTTTAATGTAAAACATTTCAAACTAATTGGAATTATTTTTTACATTATTTAAGTTTTTCACAATTGTATTGTCACACAATTTTTTTGGTTTATTTCATAATATGTTATGTGTTAATTTAAATTTCAATACTTTGGTGTTAATCACTTGTGAAACGTCTACATATGTACATATCTTGTGTGCTCCAAGCTGAACTCAGGAGTAGGCTTTGATTAAATTTTGATCTGCGTTGGGAGTAAAAAAATTTTTTTTTCAAAACTGTATTTAGAACTGCAACACTGGAAATGAAGCCATAAAAACAATTATTTGAATTCTTTTTTACATTATAACAGATTACTGATTGATATTTTGTGTAACTGACAGGAGAGTGAGCAGAGTTCCGGATCTGATGACGAATCTAAATGTGAAGGTATGAAAGGAAAAGCATGCATCCAAATGGAAATTAAGTTAGAATTGTCTAACACTAACACTAAATGTATAACAGGGAGAGCTGCGGCTCATGAAGTGCAGCGTGCCTACTTGGATGAGTCTGTGTCTACCAGGTCAGATACTGAAGTTTCTCCAAGCAAAATATTGAACCCCGGATGGCCTCCCAACCTACTCCTCACTTGTAAGTGCAACATCCAATTTAAATAAATGATTGCTGACCCACAAATTAGTCAAGATAACCAATCAAAGCAATTTATCCAAATTTGTGGGGCAATGAATTTTGCTTGAATATTTAAGTAACAGGTCAGTAAAAATAAAGTACTGTGTTGTGTAGGTTACTTAAGCTATAAGCAGGTTTATGCTGACTTTCCCTACAAATGCCTTGAATTTTTGAGAAAATTACAGCAGGGCTGAGCTCAAATCATGGTGGTGGCAGCCTGTCACGGACAGTCACAGCAGCCACGAGATTTCCAGCAGACAGCCACGGGATTTTCAGCAACAGCAACGGCCATGGCCAGCCACGGGTTTTCCAGCAACAGGCAGGGGATTTCCGGCAGCCAGTCGCAGCAGCCATGATATTTCCGGTAACAGCCACGGACGGCCACGAGTTTTCCAGCAATAGCCACTAAATTTTTGGCTGTCAGCCACGGCAGCCATGATATTTCCGGTAACAGCCACATACAGCCACAAGTTTTCCAGCAACAGCCACGGGGTTTTCAGCAGCCAGTCGCAGCAGCCACGGGATTTCCAGCAACAACCACGAGATTTCCAGCAGCCAGCCATGGAGAGCCACGAGAATTGCAACGAAGCGAGAATTTTTTTTAGCAACAATTGCCACTTGCAACGGGTTGATTTATATATTTTTCCCAGAGTTGCTACTTTAAGTCCCGTGGCAGCCTCGTTTTTTTTTTACGTAATTAAATCCGAAAGACTGATATTGAATTTAAAGTCAGACGTTTAGGCAACATAACCACATAAGAGAGACAAAAAAATCAATCAGTGCAGTTCCAGTGAAAATAATATAATTCTGAGCTGTTGTTGTAACCTCTAGTTTTCAGTGTTTTACATATGATTTCTGGGTTTTCACTGCAGGTGAAAAGCTTTGCAGTAAAATAACTTTACAGTTGGCGTGATTATAATTTGTCTGTATCATGATATAACAACATTGCCATGATTTTTTAAAAGAACTTTATTGAACAAACAAAAGTTGTACAAGCAAATTCACAAAAGTTATAATCTATAAAGAACATTCAAAAACTAATAAAATTATTGGAGTGAAATTAACAAATTAAAACTGAAATACATAAGAAAAAAATATAAACCAAAATAAAAAATAAAAACCCACATCTGCTATTAAGATAAAATGAAATTTGAGAATTGAAAGTTTTCCAATATTTCTGATTTTTTTACATTGCCATAAGGAATAGTAACAAAATAAGTAATCAGATTAGATTCTTTGAAATAATTCAGCAGCAGAGACAAATACTCCATTTTGATTTATGTAGTAGTGAGCGACAGCAGTGCCCTGACCAATCACAAGCTTGCGCTCTCCGTCTTGACGGATGGATGTTTATAATAGTGGGCTCAACTCCGTACGTACTTGCGTGCCTGCCAGGGGCCCTACGCAAGGACGGATAATGGTGTTGCGTGTCTCCGCACTGATGCAGACGGGGAAGCTTGAATTAGGCTTTAGGTCTCGTTGGAATTGGAAACCTCGTGGCTGCCACGGCTGGCTGCTGGAAATCTCGTGGCTGCCGCGACTGGCTGCCGGAAATCTCGTGGCTGACTGCTGAAATCTCGTGGCTGCAGCAACTGGTGGTTGGGAAGCTCGTGGCTGTCCGCGGCTGGCTTCCAGGAATCTCGTGGCTGTCCGTGACTGGCTGCCACAGACACGATTTGAGCCTGCTGTCTCTCGAAATTTATTTGAAAATGGTAGATGGCCAGCATTTGTATAGCCCTTTAACTACTCCTTGAGGACCTCAAAGCTTTCTCAGTTTTACATAATATTTGCTATCAATTCTTTATGACTCAATTCCTAAATAAATAATTAGAATAAGTGTTTTGCATACAGTATAAACATTAGCAATTAACTGAAACTCCTACTGGTGTTTATTCTCATCTGTCTTTTTTTCTTCCTCAAGCTGGTTCTGATGAGATTGAAATTACTCTTCTGCCAATCATAAGTTTAAGTATTAAGGGCTTACACAAAGGGGTAAGGATGTCACATGGGATTAAGCCTAAACATGGATTGCTATTAACATGGTTCAGATAGGACAGGGGTGTCAAACTCCAATCCACGAGGGTCGGTGTTCTGCAAAGTTTGTGTTCCAGTTTCAACACACCTGAATTATATGCTAAATTGCCTCCTCAGCAGGCAACTAGGTTATATGGGGTTATACTTCTGTCCTAATTGTGATTCAAGAGTGCTGAGATGGTATGACTTTCTGCCATTTTCAATTTAACAGTGCCCTTAGCTCTCAGACTGCAGGTTTACTGGTAGTTCCTAGGATTTCTAAAAGTAGAATGGGTGGCAGATCTTTCAGCTACCAGGCTCCTCTCCTATGGAACCAGCTCCCAGGATTGGTTCGTGAAGCAGACAACATGTCTGTCTTGAAAAGTAGGCTGAAAATCTTCTTCTTTGACAAAGCTTACAGGTAGACAGATTACTGTTAATAGCTTCTGCTTTAGGCTATGCTGTTGGAAGACACTGACTCGTTTTCTTCCCTTTTACAATTCCTTAATTGCATTATTTGCTGTTATTACAACTGCTAACCTGATCTGGATCTCTGCTCAGCGGGATGCCTCAATGAACGAGGGCCTTCACTGGGCTGGTGCTCCAGTGGTTGAATGTTCTCCCTGTCAACTTGTGAACTTTTGCTCCTGCATCAGTTCTGTTATTCTTTCTGTGTCTCTGCTCTGTCTCCTCCAACCATCAGACGGTCTCGGCAGATGACTGCTGGTACGGAGCATGGTTCTGGTGGAGGTTTCTTCCTGTTAAAAGGGAGTTTTTCCCTCTCCACTGTTGCTTCATGCTTTTTAGTGAGAGGGATTGCTTGGGCTGAATCCGCATGTCAGGGTCACAACTGCTGGGCAATTAAACAGTTGTCTGGGATAGAAAACTTTAGAACTGAGCAAATATATAGAAATGTCTGTCCTGTAAAGTGCCTTGAGATGGCGTTTGCTGTGAATAAGCACTGGAGAAATAAACTGAATTAAGTTGACTGAACCTGGAACCAAGTTCTAATATAAGCTCTTAGTAAAATGTTTAAACGCTTGTTTTTTAAAAGGTGAAACAGTTAGGTCTTTGTCTTTTCTTTTCCAGGAAGACAGTCATCACATTCAGCGTTTGAAGAAACTGACAGCTCATCATGGCAAATGTGAGCGCAGTTTTGAGAAGGCTTATGCAATGCAGACAAAGGAGGAGCAGGACAGAACATTAACGTTGCATCATCAACTGAACATGAAGGTTGGTGCTATTTGACGGCTAGATAACGTCGCAATAAAACAATTTAAAATAACAATCCAGCAGAGTAGAGTTTTAAGACGGGTTTTGAATGTTGTTTCTGCCTGTAACAAAAAATATCTAAGTGAAGGTTTTGGTGTAGCTCTTTAGTTGGACTGGAGGGTGGTAAAATAGATAAGATTTTTTGCATGTTGACCTGGCACCAAACCAGTGCTTAATTCGGAAATGAAACGTTCCCGGAACGTAAAAAGTGACGTCACACCAAACTTCACTAAAGGCAAAATAGATGTCGTAGCACGCACGGGGTGGGGGTGGGGGGTTGTTCCGGTTGATTCGCTGGAGTTTTTGACAATTAAAAATTGCGCCCACATTTTCAAGTTAAAACACATTTCTTTCAACAACAGTAGTTTTTGAATCATTACTGTTCCCCTGCTTCAGCCCTCCTCTTCTTGCGCAGCAGCCGCAATCTCTCTGGTATTCCTGCAGCCTCAGAGTTCCTGCTGCTCTAAACATTGAAAGAATTATTTCATTTTCTGTTCCTCACTTCTGATTATTTGCAATTGTGTCTGTTTGTTGCAACCACCAGGTACAAAAATGAACTTGTATTTATTTGACTATTTTTCTGTCCTGTCTCTGTTATCTTCCTGCATCTCCTCTCAATCCTAATGAAAAACTGCTACATGTCTTCATGTTTTTCACCTCATAAATTAACTGTAGTTTAAAAAGATCTACGGACCGCAAAAATAGCAGAGTGCGCACCGGCCGCACCGGTAAGATGCGTCACCGGAGGACAAAACTGGTGATGCACTCCGCTCCGCAGCAGCGAAACGCATCAGACACAAATAAAAGACAGAAATAATTAAAGGATATGAGCCGACATGAATGATCACATGTTAACTTTGTTTTTGGGGTGGCGAAACTTTGAGAATGTTACTGTGACCGTGCTCAGGACACATCTGTCTGGAGCGCGTACGAGCTCTGCGCCTCTCAGCTCTAAATAATCCCCGGAGAGTCCACATGAATAATGTAATATAAGTAGAACCAGGATCGTTTTGGGCTTCCGTACAGGGTGTGAAAGCAGAGGGCTGCCAGGGGAGCCATCCTTTGGGGTGAGCTGAGATCCCTTTAGCTCACCAGTAATTCAAACCCTGTGTATAGCACAAGTTGGTCGCGTGAGTTGCCGGATCCTAGCAGACCGTTGCTCAAACGGTCCTTTCAAAATAAGACAGTTCCCGGATCTTGTTCTGGCAAGATCCGGCTCAAATTAAGCACTGCGCCAAACCATACTTGCCTTGCTGCTACTGTCGTACTGAGGTTTAATATTTGTTTCCATCCCAACTCAGTTATTACATGCATTTTTAATAAATGTAACTGTAGTAAGTTAGCCTTGAATGGGATGCCTACTATATTTTGTTAGTCAAAAATGTTTGGTTTGTTTTGATTTACAGAGTTCCACTGGAATAGACATTCCAAAAGTTATTGCTAACCACTTCACATCATTCTTCTTTTTTCTTCACAAAATTAGGGTCATCATCTGAAAGTGAAGATACCATCACCCTTAATGAAACTCCACCTGATGTGATCCAAGATGACAGCGTTCCTATGCTCACAAGAACCCAAAGTGTAATTGTAAGTTTGTCTTCAAACGTTAATGTATAATCTCAATTAGGGTTGTCACGGTGTGAAAATTCAACCTCACGGTTATTGTGACCAAAATTATCACGGTTTTCGGTATTATCGCAGTATTTTTTTAAACATGTTACATTTTCAGACAACTAAATAAACCCTGTATATCAGGAAAATATTGTCCTCAGTTTGTGTCTATATGTTGCCTAAAATTTGTTATTTTGTAATTATGTTGTTTATTTGTTTACATTTTTCCCCTTTAGTCTTTAAAATACCAATAGTTGCCCATAACTTTTTATTTTTTGTCTGTTGGATGTCATCATTTTAAAAATATTAGATCAGATGATACTCAGTACTCAAGTAGCCTTCTAATCAGATTCTCCAATAGCATATTTACCTTTATCTAATGTATGAATTATTCCATCGGTTGCTTCCATTATTGCAAGTGCTGTTGTCCTCTTTTCTCTGAATCCGTACTGACTATGGTCTAGTATTTCGTGTTTATTTAAAACATTTTCTAGTCTGATATTAAATAGTTTTTCCAGGATTTTTGAAAATTGAGGAAGAAGTGATACTGGCCTGTAGTTGTTAAATAGATGTTTATTCCCTTGCTTAAAAATTGGTATTACTTTAGCTACTTTCATTTTCTGAGGAAATAAACCAGTTTGGAAGGATAAGTTAAATATAAAAGTTAATGTTTTAGAATAACATCAATAACTCTTTTAAACAACACCATATCAATACCGTCACAATCAGTGGAGACTTTGTTGTTACATTTATCAACAACTGATTTAACTTCCAACTCATCCACTGCTGAGAGGAAGATTGAGTCAGGGTAGTTTTTTTTAAATTTTTTTTATCAGTGGTTCACTTATTGTCTGTCTTTTTTGGCTTGGTATATTTGCTGCTAGCTCTGGGCCTACATTCACAAAATATTCATTCATTCTATTAACTACTTTTATTTTATCATAAATATCACTTTGATTATCAGTATAGTATTCAGGGTATACCATTTTCTTTTTCCCACCATTACTTAATTTGTTTAGTACGGTATATCTCAGACACCTTTTAAGTTATTCTTATTTTCATTTAGGATTTTTCTGTAATATATCTTTATACTAGTTCTTATTATTTCAGTTAATTTACTTTTGTAAACTTTATATCTGATTTCAGCTTCCTTAGTTCATAGTTTAATAAAATTCCTATAAAGACTTGTTTTTCTTTTTACAAGCATTTTGGAATCCTTTAGTTAGCCATGGGAGATTTTTATACTTATGACTTCCATTAATGACCTTGACTGGACAATTCTTATTGTAAAGTGTCTTAAATATGTCAATAAATTTACTATATGCCATATCAACGTCATCTTCCCTATAGACTACATCCCAGTCTTGGGACATCAATTCCTCTTTAAATGCAGCAATTAAATCGTCTGTTCGTAATCTCTTATATATCTATTTCCCTGATTTTCTTTGACACCTACTTTCTTTAATTCCATTGCTGATGTCAAAATATACATATATAGGTCAGTGGTCACTAATATAATTTATTAGTATGCCACCTGCAATATTTTTTTCAACACAAATTGTAAAAATATTGTCAATCAAGGTTGCACATTGTGCCGTAATTCTTGTTGGTCGTGTGATCTTCTGGAACAGGGATAAGCTATACATCATGTCTAAGAAATCTTCAGTATGTTTATGCAGTTTTGACTTCATGAGATCAATGTTAAAGTCCCCACAGATGAAAATATCCTTTTGGCCAATTTTTGTGTACATTTTCTCTATACAGGTTTTAAACTAATCCATATCCGATCCTAGGGCTCTGTATATACAGCTAACTAGTATATTGTAAAGGGTTAATTTACATTTATTTAATGAACCATAAGACGTGGTTCTATGGCAAAAATAGAGTATCACGATTTTTCCAATATTTTATCACGATTTCGATTTTATCACGATTTTTTATCCATGGATAGCATAACTTCAATTGCGTATTAAAGAAGAGAAACATTGAATAAATAAACATTTATTCATATTAGGGATAATCAGCACAGTGCTAACACGCTTATATTTTAAACTCACACCAGAGATGATAAAAGCCCTGAGAGAAACAATTACAAAAATCAGTTTTTCTCGTTTTTCAAGTAACTTAACATAAATTAAAATCGTAAACATATTTAAAGTGCAAACATGTCAATTGCAAACGTATTGTGCAAACATTAACTTGTTAAAAATACTATGTAGCTCCCAGTTGCTCATGTAGTGGATAGTTAAGCTCAAATACGGCTCTGATGTGCGGCTGGACCAGAGATCGCTTGTGGTAGCAAAAAACTGTGCATTCTGAATATTTTCTGCAACAAGTCTAAGTAAAGTAAAATTTTCCAGTGCAGATTGGAGACAACCCATAGAAGCACTGATTTGATCTCATTTCAGAGAAAAATAGAACACGTTAGATGCACCTAATAAATAAAATTACTAACAAACTCAGGAATGTTTCTTTGCTTCACTGTTCTGGTGCTGAAAATATCACTAATGCGGATCAAAGGAGATATACAGATGAATGCACCTCTTATTATTTGGAAACTACATTTACTGCAGCTGGCAGAGGCAGAGATTGTTTCTATTGATACACAGAATTTACAGAATCATTTTAAATTGTAATAGGGGAAGACTGCAGGAGGGAGCGGTAAAATACAGGGGGTCCCCAGCAAAAACAAGAAACTACGAGTCTGATAAAACCCGCTGGTTTTCCATCAGGCAGTCACGGGGCAGCTCCAACGACCCAGTGGCCAAGGCGAGCTCAGTCCGGCTCGGCAGAGGGTGAACGAGCCGAGGCGATGTCGTGCTCTGCTTAAGAAGAAGTGTTATTTTCCTGCTTCAGAAGAAGCGTCCAACATGTTTTTACGCTTTCTCCGAGACATGTCACATTGCTAAGTTGTTAGCGCCGTGCGCTAAGGAAACCCTGCGTTCCTCTTCGGAACGAAAACCTCGTTGTCGCTCAGCCGCGGCCGAAGCCATGTTTGTTCACACACAGGTGAAAACAAGCGGGGCACTAATATATTACTATGACTCACTCTGATTGGTTAAGGGTCAAACAAAGGCGTGTCATTCGCCTGAGGTAAGTTCCATTTTCATTCAGAGACAGAAATTCAACAGCAGAGCTGTGAATCGTGATAAAAAGGTCTCTCAAAAATGACAGACCGTCAGATGTGTAGATCGTAAAACGGTCTAAAATCGTCATATCGCCCAGCCCTAATAAGACGTAAGATTCCATAGTAAATATGAAATCAATCTTATGGATCTTTGGGTACTTTTAACCAGAAGATTGGAACTTTTTATTGCAGGGACTATGTAACACTTCGTATTAACTGAGAGACAACAGAAGAGCGAGTCACCTTTAAAATTTAAGATTTATTTCTAAACAATTTTAAACAAGATTAACTCTAAATTCTAAGTGAATGGATGGATCTTAGTGTGAATAAGACATGAGATGAGGGTTAGGGTTAGGCTTAAGAGCTATTAAATTCTTTATGGAGCACACCCTTTAGTTATTATCCTGATGCTTTACCAAGATGCACCAGCGGTAGACTCCCAGAGATCGGTGCACAGCCCGGAGGCCGGGCCTGGCCTGGTGGTTGGAGCAGGGCCTAGTCTGGTAGCAGGAGCTGAGCTTGTAGCCGGGCCTGGTCTGGTAGCAGGAGCAGAGCCTGTTGCTGGAGCAGAGCCTGGTCTGGTAGCAGGAGCAGAGCCTGTTGCTGGAGCAGAGTCTGGTGTAGTAGCAGGAGCAGAGCCTGTTCTGGTAGCAGGAGCAGAGCCTGTAGCCGGGCCTGAACTGGTAGCAGGAGCAGAGCCTGTTGCTGGAGCAGAGCCTGGTGTGGTAGCAGGAGCAGAGCCTGTTCTGGTAGCAGGAGCAAAGCCTGTAGCTGGAGCAGAGCATGGTGTGGTAGCAGGATCAGAGCCTGTAGCAAAACCACTGAGTGACAAGCTGGAGAGCTAGGGGGAATGAGTCTCTTGAATTGTTAAATTCATAATTATTCTTGGAAAGAGACCAACTCTTATCTGCCCCTGGGAACCCCGTAAGGCATAGTGTAATTTCAACATGGGGGTGTCCGCGACATGGTTTAAATGTAGATAGCGTGCACTGCGGCTGCTTTATATGGTGACGCGTTGCATTCTCCCTCAACCCAAATCCTCGGATCACACATTTTAGCTACAACGTTAACTTGCCTTGCATTGATTGTAGGGTGGTGGGTGATGGTCACGCAGATGTGTCATGAGATTTGAAGCGTTGCTGCCTTTCACAGACACTTTTTCCTGCACGTGCTGCAAACAGGATAGCCGTCTTCTATCAACTGTCCCTCGGCATTCTTCAAATATCCAAAAAATGCCCATACTTCCCACTTTGTCTTCTTTGAGGGATAATAAATGTCCTGAGCGCTGCCGTCTCCTCCTTTGGCCATTATTTCAGCTTTAGCTTCAAGAAAGTTTTGGTTGTAAATAACAAAGTGCGCATGTGCCACTGGCAACTTCAGCAGACGATACGGTGGCTGGTAAGGGTCACCGCGCCTACACCGCAGCCATGGTAATCCACTGAGATAATACATTTTTTTAAAAACAAGACGATCATTATTATTGTCAACTTTTTTACCAGGGTTTACCGCTACACCGGTTACCGTGACAACCCTATTCTCAATCATTAAGGACATAATTATGAATTGAAAAGAAAGTAACTGGACTTCTTGTCTTGAAAATGTTTTGTCTTTCTTCCAAGAGACTTGTTAAGAACTGAAAAGTCCAGCCCCTATCCTTTTAACTCAGGATTTGTCTTTTGTCAAACTAGAGCTGGGAGATATAAGACTTGTCATATCACGATACATCTTTTTTCCTTTCAGGTGATATATATATATATATATCACGATATAAGTCAAACTACTCTATATGTAAAATTTAAATGTGCCGTTGCTTTTAAGTAATATGTGAAATCATCAGAAGTTTGTTTTGATTTAAATATTTAGTTTCCTGCCAAAGGTTCAGCAAAACAGTCGTACTGAGGGAACATAACAGATCTGTTTCAGATGACTAAAATAAAAAAGGTTCATATTAAAAACTAAATAAAGTCAGGACTAAAGCGTTCTAGTTTACAAAGAGAACACAAAAATGACTTAACTGCTTGGTCAACTCCACTTAGAAACAAAATATCATTTCTAAAAATAAATCTCAGTGTACAGTAAGTTTTACAGGAGAATAGACATAAAATTGACAAACCTTTCGTCAATATCAAATGAATAAGCTAAGAACTAAAAGCAAATTATCCCAATATGTCCTTGTATAGTTTTTTTAAATAGTTTAATTCAGTTGGCTATGAAAAAAGGAGGGAAGAACTATATTGCGATAGTCTCATTTTACTATTGAAAATAGGTTATATTGCTATACATACCATTATTGTTTTATTGTCCAGGCCCATGTCAAACTTTTACTGAATTGTATGAGATCTTCACTTGCTGTGACTCAGGAACACATTAAACAAGTTTTTTCCTGTAATCATCACCCCATCCATCACTCTTTACTAGGGCTGGGCGATATGGCAACAATAGAATATCACAATTTTTCCAATATTTTATCACGATTTCGATTTTATCACGATTTTTTATCCATGAATAGCATAACTTCAATTGCGTATTAAAGAAGAGAAACATTGAATAAATAAACATTTATTCATATTAGGGATAATCAGCACAGTGCTAACACACTTATATTTTAAACTCACACCAGAGATGATAAAAGCCCTGAGAGAAACAATTACAAAAATCAGTTTTTCTCATTTTTCAAGTAACTTAACATAAATTAAAATTGTAAACATATTTAAAGTGCAAACATGTCAATTGCAAACGTATTGTGCAAACATTAACTTGTTAAAAATACTATGTAGCTCCCAGTTGCTCATGTAGTGGATAGTTAAGCTCAAATACGGCTCTGATGTGTGGCTGGACCAGAGATTGCTTGTGGTAGCAAAAAACTGCGCATTCTGAATATTTTCTGCAACAAGTCTCTAAATAAAGTAAAATTTTCCAGTGCAGATTGGAGACAACCCATAGAAGCACTGATTTGATCTCATTTCAGAGAAAAATAGAACAGGTTAGATGCACCTAATAAATAAAATTACTAACAAACTCAGGAATCTTTCTTTGCTTCACTGTTCTGGTGCTGAAAATATCACTAATGCGGATCAAAGGAGATACACAGATGAATGCACCTCTTATTGTTTGGAAACTACATTTACTGCAGCTGGCAGAGGCAGAGATTGTTTCTATTGATACACGGAATTTACAGAATCATTTTAAATTGTAATAGGGGAAGACTGCAGGAGGGAGCGGTAAATTACAGGGGGTCCCCAACAAAAACAAGAAACTACGAGTCTGATGAAACCCGCTGGTTTTCCATCAGGCAGTCACGGGTCAGCTCCAGCGACCCAGTGACCGAGCTCAGTCCGGTACCGACACCGGCTCGGCAGAGGGTGAACGAGCCGAGGCGACGTCGTGCTCTGCTTAAGAAGAAGTGTTATTTTCCTGCTTCAGAAGAAGCGTCCAACGTGTTTTTACGCTTTCTCCGAGACATGTCACGTCACTAAGTTGTTAGAGCCGCGCGCTAAGGAAACCCTGCGTTCCTCTTCGGAACGTGTCGCTCAGCCGCGGCGAAGCCATGTTTTTTCACACACAAATGAAAACAAGCAGGGCACTAATATATTACTATGACTCACTCTAATTGGTTAAGGGTCAAACAAAGGCGTGTCATTCGCCTGAGGTAAGTTCCTTTTCATTCAGAGGCAGAAATTCAACAGCAGAGCTGTGAATCGTGATAAAAATGGTCTCTCAAAAATAACAGACCGTCAGATGTGTAGATCGTAAAACGGTCTAAAATCGTCATATCGCCCAGCCCTACTCTTTACATACTTAACTCTTTTTATTTGGGCATCCATTCACAGAGTTCCTGTGGGGTCTTAAGTTTAAAATAAATTTCTCTAGATTTAAGGCCTTAAAAACATCCAGGTAGCTGGGAAGCGTTGACCGTAGAAAACACACTGAAACGCTTTCTGTCTTCCTTCGAGGTAGGGGTGGGTGATTAATTGATTTTAAATTGAGATTACAGTATGGGTTGGGAACAATTATTAGAAGCAAAATTAGCGATTTTTCTTTTTTTTTTTTTGTTAACATGTTTCAAGTACCTAGCGACAACTCTAGCCACCTGTGTTAGCGATTATCTGAGACTCAGAGATCGCTGTGAAGCACAGACTTACAGCGGTTAGCTTCATTCGTTCTGTATGTTCAGTCGGCTCTTTCCATGGAGCAGCGGGGCTGCCGTCTGCTCCAGCCCTGCTGCTGCAGCAGGTAGCTGTTGTCATAAAGTGAAACTGAAAATGGATCTTGCAGCTTGAAGTTGCCTCTGTCTGACTGATGCTGCCCGTGCTTAGGTGGAAAGATATATACATATTCTCTCAAATGTGTCAAAACTTGTCTTTAAATTCCATGAACATCAAATATTACATCCAGGGGACATTTCCAACAGAATCAGAAAATAACGTATTGTTCCATTGACTCTCATCCATTATTTTTTTGTCCATGGGAACAAATGACTGGAAGTAGAAGGGTGGGGCTTAGGCTCCCCATACTTAAACATAATGAAACACCCTTTGGGTCAAACAGTAGTATATGCTATCTCATTGCAAATGGATGTACTTTTATCTTTCTGTTGCTGTTTATCAGTATCACTATTTATCAATTTTTGCCCTTTATTTTTTCCAAGACAAAGCACAACTTTATTTAACTCATAAGAGAGAAGATTCTCTTTTATAAAGGCAAAAATCATTAAATGGAGTTTAAAGGCCACTATTAATGTTCAATAAATTTAGGTCATCATCAGCATTAATTAAAAATTGTGTTAAATAGTCAAGATCTCAGTTTCAATCAAAATAATCATGATTAACATTTTTGCCATGATCTAGCAGCCCTACGTGTTATCAACGTAGGGCTGCCGTAGTGTTTGGGCTGATGTTGCAATATTTACAGGTTATTCACAAGTGCAGGATTTGAATTGTCAGTATGTGGCATTTGTAGTTTGTGTACAGCCAGCAAATTAGAAAGTGCTGAGTCCAGTAGGTGGCTCGTTGTTAAAACACCGCGAAGTGTGTTTTGAACCACATTGGTTTCACAGTTGGTTTGGACAATCACTGGTGTTATGGATTAATGCGGTTTTGGGTTAACTGGTTTCCTACTTCTGTTAGCGTTGGTGTCAGTCCA